AAAAGAACCTGAGGGGAGATGAGAATTTTTTTTACACAGAAAGTTGTTACAGTCTGGAATGTACTGCCTGAAAGGGTGGTGGAAACAGATTCAATAACAATTTTCAAAAGGGAATTGGATAAGTACATAGGATTGAAAATTTGCAAGGGGAAAGAGCAGGCGAGTGGGACTGATTTCTTAGCTCTTCCAAAGAGCCAGCACAGGCACGATGGGCCGAATGGCTTACTTCTGTGCTGTAATATTCTATGATTCTATAAATGAGTGTTGTTCTGGGAAGCATGATGCATTTCATTCAGAGAGTGATTTGCTATGGAACTGCCCTGGCGTAATGGCAATAAATGTTTGAAGGGATATAGTTTTATTCTTTTTACTAGTACTGAAATAGCAAACAGCTGTTAGCAGTGGCCTGTATTAAAGCCATGAAGAAGAGGCCTGGTACAGCATGTCCAAATACCACAGTCTTTATTAACAAGAGGAGTGAATCACAGTCATATTTCAAACCAAGGAGACAATCAGGCTGTAAAACAGATGGTTGTGTGCGAGGTGCATTTCATGCAAAAATAATGATAATAATTATTGCATTTGATATAGCGCCTTATCACGTCGTTGAGACGTATCACAGCACTTCACAGAATATATTGCAGAGTGGATTGACTGTGTATTTTGTGGGCGAAACATGGCAGTCAATTGCGCACAGCAGTGTCCCACAAATAGTCATGGATTGAGTGACCACATTTTTTTGAGGGATCATTAGCCCTTGAAAGCGATTCATTAATCGAACAACAATCTGGTTCCTATTTTTACTGCTAGGTAAACAGAGGCGTGTGGAGTAAGGAAACTTACCTAAGGTTTCAACCCGCACAGGAATCGAACCCGAGTTTTCTCGCGTGCGAGCGAGTGCTCTAACCACTATGCTACGGAACTCCACTGGGGACTTCTGCTTGTAATAGAGGACTAAAACAACAGCAACAACTTGCTTTTATATAGCGCCCTTCATGCGGGCTAGTGTCTTGAAGGGCTAATATTTATCTCTCTATTATGTGCCAGAAAGGTGAAGGCGAACTAGATGGACATTGGCCTTTTTTCGTCTAGCATTTCTTATGTTCTTATATTATTTGATACAGCGCCTTTCACATCAGGAGGATGTCTCAAAGCACTTTGCGGGTATTGCTGTGACACGTAGTGACCGTGCATTTTGTGGTTGAAGTAGTATTATTTACAACTACCTTTTCGTTCCCTTTTGCCATTTAGGGAAGTAATTCTCTCCACAAAAAATCCCTTTGTCTCAACCCCTCTCTCTCTCTGTCTTTAAAAACCTCCTGATAAACCTATCTCTCTACCCACAATCAGCTCCCTCCTCCCCCGTCTCTCACACTCCCTGCTCAGCGCACCATCTCTGTGAAGCACCTCGAGATGTTACTTTCCATATAATAGCATTTTCAGACTCTGAGACACTACCCCGCATGAAGGTATAAATACTAGTTGCTGCTGATGTTCTTGTTGTTGTTGTTGTTGATCCACTTTATACCCATCCACAGTCCCACAAGGAACACTCTTGTCTTTGCCTTTTTTGCCTTTTTTTTGCCTTTGCCTTTTTCTCTAAAAGGCAAATCGAGGTTGTGTCATGTGATAATTATCACAGATGTTAATTATCACTCCACAACACTCCCCATTTCCCACTACCAACATATTGTGCAATAAACATGATTGTCCATGTTCCTCAGTGATTGCGTCCAGAGTAGATTAATGTCCAAAGGAAACTTTGGTTTTCCTGATTGAGAAAAAAGATAATTGAAGCATCAGTTAAATAAGTACAGAAATCAGATGCTTTTGGCATTTTTCTGAAAATCTCCCTTCTCCTAGGGAGTCTCTCAGTGTTTTGGCCAACATTCCTCCCGCATCCGAATTTGCCAAAAACAAATTAAGGGCCATTAATCTTGTTAATGTTTGTGAGATGTGCACAGTCACTGTCACATTTTGGCAAATATCAGTAACTGCATTTGAAGATAACTTGCTGATGTGAGACTTCTTTCGTAAGGTTCGATATGGAACCTTACGAACCTTAAGAACCTTGTTCTTATTAATCGTCGAAGAGACCAGAAAAGGCTACAATTCGATAGTTGCTAAAGAATGTTCCTCCGTGATTAAATCTTAATTAGTAGAGTAGAATTATTTGTACTTTGCAGCATGAAACATCATATTCCCAAAATATGGAAATATGACAGCCACTTTTACTGGCAAGATATTTTGCACCCCCATTTGTTTTCAGAGATATATTTTAGAAAAAAGCTAAACACAGAAATTATCCTTTGTATTACAGCAAGCCCTTTTTAATACTGTTTGTCTGGGCATTTTCTGCTTGGTGACAACAAAGACATCGGAGATGAGAGAGAGAGGGGTAGAATCTGGTTTGCGATCTGATGTGCAAAGCAATTAAAAAAGCTATAATATAATAATATTAATTCTTGCATTTGATATAGTGCCTTATCACTAGACCCTAAGCGCTCTGAGATGCTGTCCGGCATGGAGAGCGCTATATCCAAGTTATTGTTGTTTATCACATAATTGAGAAGTCTCAAAGAGCTTCACAGAATATATTGTAAAGTGGATTGACTCTATTCTTCGTGGGTGAACTGCCATTAAATCTGTTAAATACAATATATTTACATTGATGCTGTGCGCCTCCCATCTGGATAATGGCCCAGAGTACTTTTACAGAACAACTATAGTTGAATTACATATAATATTATTGTGATATTAGAATAATTACAATGAATTTCAAATAATAACATTGCGATGCAGGGCTATTTCTATAGCCATCTGCATTCTCATGCTGCTCCCTAGTGGTTGACATACAGAACTCAAGCTGAGCTAGAAACCAAACAGATCAGTTTGCAGTTATATAGCGCCTTTCATGAATTGTAAGTAACTGTATTGTATCTGTATTTGATGTTTATCCTTAAATTCTCCAAGCACTAGCATAAAACATAGAAACAAAGACTGTGGTTTTGCCTGGGGAGATGGCATTAAGACTGTGATGTCCACAGATCCTATTTGTATTGTATTGTATTGAATCTAGTTTAGGAAATTGAATCTGTCTCCCAGCTCCAGTCAACATCTGCCTCCCCCACTCAGTAACAATTAACGTTCTTTTTTTCCTCTCTCTGACTGCTCCCAGTGGTAACTCCACTCACTCCTTTCCTGCTCTAGACAGTCAGTCAGCACTTGCCTATCTTTCCCCATTATTGGCGCTCAATACATAAATCATTGGAAACATTATAAATTTGGCATAGTAACTGTGCATTTGTCGGTAAAGCACATGAGCCGATTTGCACACAGAAAGATTCTATCAACAGCCATGGAGTGAGTGACCAATTTTATTTTGGGGGTTGTTGGCCAGGACACTGGGGGAGACAAGACACTCAATTCTCTTTTCGGATAGTGCATCAGGTCGTTAACAACCCCCTGAACTGAGCTGTCGAGACCTCACTTTTAGCCGAGAGGAACTCCTTTGTCTTAAAAGTTAAGCTCGCGGTGAACTGTGAAATGGAAGGTGATTTTCCCGCAGTTCTTAAAAAGAAGCAGTTTCTAGGGCTGAGTTTAAGAATTTTCCAATATCCCCTGCATAATCTTACATGTTAAGACTCGCAGGGTAAGTCACAATGGCATTTTGAGTTGCAGCTCAGCTCTCGTATAATAACGCCTCCCAGGGGAAGTCAGGGTTATTTGCGCTATTGTAAAACTGCAGTAAAACTCGTATAAGTCTGATCTATATAAATCATATAATCGCCCAAGGCATACATCTGCCTAAGTCCTGTTCAAGAATTTATATTTTATGCAGGTTTGACATAACTCACATTTTGAATAAGTCATATTAAATGTATGGCCCCAACTGATATTTACCTGATATTTACTCAAACCTGACTTTTATTTTTTTACCATTAATTAGCTAACAGTCCAAGATAGCCATAACTCCCATATTAATATGAATTGATCTGTCCTTCTGTCATGCATCTCCAGGTGATCATTACAATGTATTTTTTTAAATTGCTGGGACAATATTATTGCGTACCTAAGCTTTCCACAACATTGTGCACCCGGTCACACATCCGCATAGGCAGTGAGAGTTATGGTTGTCAAATTGCTACTCACTATGATTGAGGTTTGATTTCTTTCTTTCTCCTTCCATATGGAGATCCTAATATTATGCATGTTGCTGTGGGGTTCTGTTAGCATTTAGATTGGATCCAAACCAACGGTTTCAAATCAGTTCCATTTCTCTCACGGCGAGGCAATCCTACAATGTGCATTGAGTTGGTAAGTGTGTATGACGCCATTTAAATAAATCAGCCAACAGCTGCTTTAAGCAACAACACCAAAAAACACCTCCAACTAGCTGTCAGAATGATTTGCGAGCTTTAATATACATTAATGTCCCTCTAGGACAATTTAATGTGCTTCTCACACAAGGCATTACCTTCCACCAAAACCTAAGTACTGTACGGCATTAATACAGGTCAACAACGTTATAACCCACCCCCGTGTAAGGTAGGTCCGCTTATAACACTGTTATGCAGTACACTGACAATGTAGTCTGTGAGACATCTCAAAGTGCTTCACAAAATGTACTGTAAAGTGGATTGATTGTGTATTTTGTTTGCACAACAATATCTCACAAACAGCCATATGAGTGACCAATTTTATCTGGGGGTTTGTTGGCCAGGATCACCAATAGCACCATGGGAACTTTTAACTTTTAACTTTTAACATCCACCTGAACAGACTTGGTTTAACGTCTCACCTGAAGGACAGCACCTCTGACAATGCAACACATCCACAGCACAGCTTTGGAGTGTTAAATGAGACTACGTGAGTTCAAGTCTTGAACCCACAACCCTCTGAATCTCTGAATTTGGTATTTGCTTGTGAACAAAAAGAAACGTAAGAAACGTGTTGAGACCCAGGAAAGTAACCTCGAACTTTATTGTCTCTTCCAACAGGTTCGTTCTTCCCTTCTTTGAGACCAACAGACACTGTCTTTAAAGTGGTGTTTTGGCTGGGCTACTCCAACAGCTGTTTGAACCCCATCATTTACTCTTGTTCCAGCAAAGAGTTCAAGCGAGCGTTCATCCGGATTCTGAAATGCCAGTGTCGCCGCAGAAAGCGACCTGCCTGGCGCATGCACAATTACAACTGGAAAATGAGCTCACTGGAGCATCACCATAAAGATTCCGCAGAGGACGGCTCCGTTATTTTCAACGGTAGCGCCCGGAAGGTCATGGTCACCGGCAGCCCCAACTTCGTGGGCAAGAGTCAGCGGGAGAACGTGGAGATGTGTGCTTGCCGAGACTGGCGGCTGCTCCCGTCCTTTCACCACAACCCGCTCCGAGGCAAGGGGACCAAGGAAATGTGCGAGTTTCCCGGCAAGATCATCAACGGACAGTACGGGATCTGCACAGGGTCGGAGGAGAAGAGCGATCAGTTTGCATGTCAAGCCAAGCCCGAGGGGTGGTTACCAGCAAACGTCAGTAACAAAGTGACTCGAAACGTCCTCGAAACAGATATTTAAAGGGGCTCGGCACCTTTACCACTTGTACAGACCTGGTTGTGAAATTGCTGTTGTTTGCTCCATTGTTTACAAGAGTATAAACACACATATAATTATAAATGCTATATAAATGTTTCACTCTCCTTTCTATATGTTATTATAATTTATTGTTTTGGATACAGTATATATGTATATATGTTGCTATGAAAACCATCATATCCTCAGGAAAGTGTCTGCTTACCTATACGCATGGCCCCTACTTCATCTGAAACCTGTATGCACAAGTGGGGCTGTGATTTTGAGAACTGCTTTTGGCCAGTGTTAAATAAAAGGATATCGCACCTAAGGCAGTTGTGTTCTTAAAAGCAAGGCCCGTTTCGAGATTAATCTTTTTAACCGCACTTTCGGTCACCTCTCCCCTCCCCACCGCACTTCCATCTGGGAGGCCCAGACAACAGTGTTAAACGCTTTTTGAGATCTTCCCTTGACATGAAAGGCGCTGTGTAATTGTACATTATATTGTATAATGGATACAACCATTCAATGAGGGATGAACTTGCTCCACATAGTCTTGAAGAAGCAAAATAAAGTATTAAGAAAGCCATAAACCATGACTGCTTTCATATCTCAAATAAACTAACTAAATAAAATAATCTAAAATTCCGCTTAACAAAGATGGTGCTAGCTGGACAAGCAGCGGGAAGCTTTTTGGACAGTACTTTTAAAGGGAGGTTGTGTGGTTTCAGTTGGTTAAATTCAAGCAGTTATCCCACCACATAATCTGGAGATCCCCAAGCCTTAGCTCATGCCAACCTGTGCCTAATACACTCTGGAATTAGACAAGCAGGAAGAGAGTGTACATTCCATTCCAGATACAGGAACATGTCCACACATACATGGAACTCAGCTTGGTGTCAATGCCAATGTTCAGATGTGCCGCTTTTTGCTCTGGAGTAAAGATATAATTCCCTTTTCACATTCTTGAACATGCTATGGTGCAATGGATTTACAAGTTAATTAATCAACAACTAAATTTATCTGATTGGAATGAGTTCAAATTATTTGTCATCAATTTACATCTGAGCTCTGTTAGCTACTGTTGGTGTGTTTACAATACAAAATGACATTTGTACAGCGCCTTTCACGTCAGGAGGACATCCCAAGCCGATGTATGTATGTTTGACTCATTCAGACATCCAAAGGCATCGGAAGCCTGAAATAGTATTTTGTATATTGTATTCCCACCCTATTTGTCCCTCCATCACTGCATCAAGCTGCTTTTTAAATGAGTCCCAGTGTCCTGGACTCAACCACTCTGCAAAACGCAGTCACTCCCTGTGGAGTGCTTTGAGAAGTTTCAATGCTGTAGGCACGAAAAAATGTTTTTTTGGTCAGCCGGGGGTCTGACACATGCAGAAACCTAGTACCTCACTTAAAGAGCATCCGAACCAGATTGAGAGTCCCACTTGTCTGCCACTTACACATGGAGATTGCCATTATTAAAACAATACACTGAGTGATAGGTGGTTGAACAACTCACAAGAACAAAAGGCTGGGAGACAAAGATATTATAAATCGTGTATTACTCAGACATTATTGCCGTCATTAGTTGGACCACTTACACCTTTAGACATCTTCCCTGTCTGGCCTATGGAACACCTTGAATGCTTCAGACAATGACTTGAGGAACTACGTGTTTTATAATAATCCTTGCATTTCATATAACATCTTGGCACGTCGTCAAGACATCTCAAAGAACTTCACAAGATATAGATTAAAGACAAGAATTGAATCTATATTTTGAGGGTGAAATGATGTAGCCAATTGCGCACAGACAAACATTCGTGGATTGAGTGACCAAATAATTAACACCAACAATAACAAGATTACATTTGTATAGCGCCTTTCACGTCAGGAGGACATCCCAAGGCACTGGACAGTGTACAGCATTTCTACATTAACATATGTTTGGCCCATAAACAAAGCATCACTGATGAATTTGTTTAGTTCTATGACTACTTTAGAACTCATCTCCCATTATGACATTAAAGACATTTCTGAAATGAGTCCAGAGCAGCCTGGCCTCATGTCCCATCCCACCCCAGGTCACTTCCTGTAGCTCTATAGGAACTGGAATTGAGAGAAACAAGGTGGAACACAGCGGAAAAAGACAAACAAAAACCTGCATGTGTAGGAGCGAAACCACCAGCAAGGGAGGTGTGCAACTTGTGGGTTAAAAGGGGAGCATGACATTTGGTTTCCATGATAGAGTTGCAAACACAATGGAACCCAGGACTTGTAAAGCACAAACACACCACCTCACCTCCACCGCGTATAAAGACATTGTGAATGGACCTTCCCAGTTCTCAAATTGTGATTGACATCCAATAGGTGTAGGAAATTAGATGAATAATAAATGTTTAAGTACTGCCAGAGAGATTGCGTTGAGCTCCCAAGCTGTCACGTTTAAGAAACTTGTTTATAGTTACACAGTCCCATTGATTTTTAATGAGTTCTGTGGTGTGTCTTGGATACCAGTATTGATTTGCTTTGTGCAATTAGCAGAAGATGCATTATTTGTTTAATAAGGTTAAAAATCTGCTGTAGTTTATCCACCTCCAACACAGTACCAGTTTCACAGAAGACAGTGTAAATCATGTGATGTTGACTCATGACGGATAGAGGTTAATGATTTGCAGCTCGGATTATCAGGAGCTACAAGCAGCGAAGCAGAGAGAAAGGTATCAGCCAGTGCAAAGAGCAAATGGTAGCTTCTAGTGAAGGTATTTCAGGCTCTGCCACTATTAAGCGCTCCGAGACGCTGCCCCACATGAAAGCCGCTATATAAATGCAAGGTTTTGTATTTATCCAGCAAATGAACCTCCAGCCTTACCGTTTGGGAATCAGTCTCGGACCTTTCAAGAGCTTTGGTGAAACTAAGCAAGGAAGACCACGAGCACGAGATAGAGGGACAGACGTTTAAGAAGCTGATGTTTCAGAGGTATTTTTGAATAACAGCATGCACTGGAATAGCCACGGGCCATTGTAGATTCTGATATTGACTGAATTGGATGTGTGGGACTCACTGTGACTGGGAGACAATCACAGGGGATGGATACAAGCCATAGTCCTCCTTTCAATTATACTCTATCTTGCAACTCTTCAGAAAGCGTGCCCTACACAGCAAGGCAAGTGATTCAATGCGTGACTACCCTCAGTGTTCTCACCATCATCACACTCCTTACTGTCCTCGGCAACGTCCTCGTGATTGCTTCAATCGCCTACTTCACCAAATTGCAAACTCCCACCAATGCCTTTATTCTGTCTCTGGCCACGGCAGACATCCTTGTGGGTCTGGTCGTGATGCCCTTCAGCATGGTCAAAGCTGTCTTTGGCTGGTATTTCGGGCGAATATTTTGCAAAATCCATTCCATCATGGACGTGATGCTCTGTACCTCTTCAATCGTCAACCTCAGCTGCATCGCCTTTGACCGCTATTTTGCCGTGTGCTACCCATTGAAATATCGCTTCACGATGTCTCGGAAAAGGGTAACATTTCTTCTGCTGATCTGCTGGATTCTGCCCGCTTTGGTGTCCATTGTGCCCTTGGTGTTGGACCTCCACGTCATAGGTTTGGAAGACTCCTTTGAGCAGTTAGATTCACAAGATTGCGTGTTTGTAGTCAACATCCCTTACTCTGTGACTGCTTCCATTATTGCCTTCTACCTCCCCATGCCAGTCATATTGGTTGCATATGCCAAAATCTTCCTTGTGGCCACAAACCAAGTGAGAGAGATAGCCGCAAGGCAGCAAGGAATGAACTTGGAAATGATCCAGCAAAATTCATCCATAAGGAAAGAAAGGAAAGCAGCTAAAACTCTGGGGATCATTATTGGATGTTTCCTGCTCTGTTGGGTGCCTTTCTTCACTTTAAACATAATCGATCCCTTACTCGGTTACCAGGCAGACTCAATTCTTATTGAGGTCTTTCTGTGGCTGGGCTACCTCAATTCGGGGCTTAATCCTTTTTTATATGCTTTCTTCAACAAATCGTTCCGAAGAGCTTTTTCGATGATAATCAGTTGCAAAATAATTACCAAAGATTGTCATTATAACAGCTTGGCTGGCTCTACTAAACTCAACACACGACTTAAGACCATTTCACGTCAATTCACTCTTACCAGTGAATTGTTTGATGAAGAAGAATAAATACATTGCACAGATGATCAATGTATGAACTGAATGGGACGTGAATGTATTCCCGGCCGGCGAAATGTTGGACAAGTTTCCTTACTCCACATGCCTCTGTTTACCTAGCAGTAGGTAGAACCCTGGTTGTTAGTCAATTGGCGGATTGCTTTTCCGGGAATGATTCCTTCAAAAAAAAATCACTTAAATCCACGACTGTTTAAGTCGTTTTGCCCACAAAATATAGAGTCAATTCACTTTATAGTAAATCCTGTGAAGCGCTTTGAGATGTTCTTCCTGCTTGAAAGGCGCTTCATCAAACGCAAATATTATTTTTGTTAATTAGCTTTTGTTAGAGCAGTTTCAACGACAGATTTGGAAACCAGTTTAGCAGCGTGATTTTTTAAAGTGTATATTTAAGATTCGGGGTCACGTATTCAGGCCTATTTTATGCACTGAGAAGGGGATATCAGTGCTCTGGTATTGTCACAAAAGGTGGGACAACCCATGATGGCTTTGCTCCTTTATCATTTCAATGTGGAAACACCCAAATGCAAGAACATTACAAAACTTTTATATCCATTTTGGGTGTCAGCCTGGCCCAGTTTGTCATGTTCTCACCTCTGACTCAGATGTTGTGGGTTCAAGCTCACGTCGGGACTTGAAACTTATAGCTAGGCTGACGCTCCAATTTAGTGCTGGGAGTGTGCTGCAATGTCAGAGGTATGAGATACCTGTTCAGATGGCAAAGAGGCAAAGACATGGAGTAACAGTGGGCTGACTCAGGTGAAGTTCTCCACTTAGCATCCACTCCTAGCATAACGTTCGCAGATGCAATGCATGGGCAGGAAGAAATAGGGGGTGTGAAAGCGACGTGATCCTGTGTGAAGGGCTATACAATTGTTGATGTTTTTGTTGTAAGCAAAGCACTGTGAAGGAAGGCGATAGATTAAAAGAAAAGTCAATAGGAAATTATAACGTGGGGCACCTTGACCAAGACCCACTGAGGTGTAGGAAGAGGTGGAAGGAACCAGAACTTCATTGTAACAGGAGCACTGTGTAATTGACTGAACTAAGAAATAACCTCTGATTTATACATGATGGAGGGAATAGAGTGTAAGAGAGGGGAATAGGAGGGATTGAGGCCTGTGTGGAGTATAAAGACAGGCACAGACTAGTTGGGTCAAACTACTGTTTCCGTCTGTCTATTTATATCTTCTCTTCTCTGGATATTCTTCTTGTTGAACTTTGAATCTTGGCAACTTTGTGTACTTTGTTCTGACAGCCAACGTTCACTTGTGAGCATCAAACCGTGAGCGTCAGCAGGATAACTGATTGCAGACAACATCACAATTGAGTCTAACCCTGTCCTTATCCGGGTCACTGTACACCAACTGGGATCAGGCAGCATGATTCATACATTTCACTCTCTAGCTCAGAGACATTCATGCTGATCACACTGCCCTGTATTACTACACTGGCTGAGGTCAACAAAACTCAGCACAAATAACAACAACTACAACAAGATTCCATTTATAGAGCGCCTTTCACGTCAGGAGGACGTCCCAAGGCGCTGTACATTTGGGTCAGGAACCGAGCAGGGGGGAAATGGTCAGGGTGAGGGGAGGGAAGGGAGGGAGCGAGGAGGGGGGAAATGGTCAGGGTGAGGGGAGGGAAGGGAGGGAGCGAGGAGGGCGTAGAGAGTCGAGAGGGGAGCCAATTACTTGCATTTTATATAACGCCTTATCACATCGTTGAGATGTCTCAAAGCACTTCACAGAATATATTGTAAAGTGGATTGACTATATTTTGTGGGCGAAATGCGGCAGCCAATTGCGCACGGATTGATTGACCAAATCTTTTTTTGAAGGATTACTACTCCCGGAAAGCGATCTGCTAATCGACTAACAACTGGGTTCTGACTTACTGCTAGGTAAACAGAGGTGTGTAAAGTAAGGAAATGTGTCTGAAGCTTTGCCCCACCTAGAAATCGGACCAGATTGCAAGGCGAGCACATAAAACCTGCTGCTACATTGCACTTGCAAAACCTTTACCCTGGAGGCAATTGACTGAGCCAGACTAACAATTTTAAAACATAAAACTTTGTAACTATAGATTTCTGCAAGAACCTAGTTAACATTTCTGTTTAGATGTCACTTAGTGTACTGCCTGTTTTATGCACTTCACATGTTGCTGCTGTTACAGCAACATCTCCAAGGCAATATTTGGTCAGCACAAGCAATGAAGTTAATAAAGAGAAAGACCCAAACAGATCTTTGAAACCTAACACGGAAACAATCATATTTTGTGATGTGGATCTGAACATTGCCCACGATAAATCGTAACTTATTGTTTGATAGAAACATAGGAACATAGGAACTGGAGGAGGCCATTCAGCCCTTCGAGCCTGTTCCGCCATTTAACTAGATCATGGCTGCTCCGTATCTCAACTAATCCTTCCAATTCCAATTTCCGTTTTCTCCCCATATCCCGTAATATCCTGACCTACCAAAAATCTATCACCTCACTCTCAAAGGTGTGGATGGATCCAGCATCCACGGCCTTTTGGGAGAGAGAATTCCAGATTTCTACCACTCTTTGAGTGAAAAAATGCTTCCTGATTTCACTCTCAAATGGCCTGGTTCTAATGTTAAGACTATTCCCCCTTGCTTTGGATTCCCCCACAAGAGGAAATAGCTTCTCTGTATCTACCCTATCAAATTCCTTTATCATCTTAAATACTCAATCAAATCACCCCTCAACCTTCTAAACTCAAGGGAATACAATCCAAGTTTACTCAGCCTTTCTTCGTAACTTAACTCTTTTAGAACTGGAAACATTCTGGTGAACCTGCGTTGCACCCCCTCCAGGACCAATATATCTTTCCTGAGGTGTGGTGCCCAAAACTGAACGCAGTCTCCAGATGGGGTCCGACTAACCCTCTGAAGCATCATTTCTTCCCTTTTGTATTCCAGACCCCTTCAGATAAAGGCCAACATTCCATTCGCCTTTTGATTACTTTTTGCACCTGGGAACTAGTTTTTAGTGATTTGTGGATATGGACATCCAAATCTCTTTGCTCCTCCACATTTCAATTGTTTAGTGTGTTTGAAGCACCGAAAAGTTATCAACGTGAAATACGTCATTCTATGTACTGGAAAGTACACAACACAACAGGAGTGCTAAGGGAAGGGAATATCTGGTCACAAATACAGGAAAGCTAGAAACTTATACGAATTGAGAGAAAATGAGTTCTGCTTGTCCCATTCATAGCTCAATATTACTAATAATAATCCTTACATTTGGAACAGCACCTTTCATATTGGGAGGATGCCTCAAAGCATTTATAATAATCCTTACATTTGATATAGTGCCTTATCAGGTCGTTGAGACGTCTCCAAAATGCTTCATAGAATATACTGTAAAGTGAATTGACTGTATATTTTGTAGGCAAACGCGGGATAAACTGCAAAGTGTAGTGATGTGTGGGCTATTATTATTTATAATAATAACCGCAAGAATTATATTATAACTATCTAACCAAACAAGTGAAAACTGAACACATTAATTCAACAAAGAAAGTCAACTGTTTAAATAAATGATCATTTGGCAGTGCCATCTAGTGGATATGGAAGGAAGGTGGATTAGAATTTACAAAATAAAGTTAATTTTCACCAGGGTGTTCACAAAGTCCTGTTCTCCCACCCTCACACCTTGTTATTTTTTCTTGCAATGCATTTTTATTTTCTGATGAAGATGAATCGATACTAGTAACTTCATCCTCACTCCATCCATGTCACGGAAGATGACACTGAACATGTCGACGTATCATTATCTACCATGAAAATGATGCACTCATACACCGATCCTCTGGACGTCTAAATACAATCACACTTGTACTGAATACGATTAAATACTTCTAAATACAACTATCATATTTTTTCCACGTTTCAGTTGTTGGGCAGTGCGCTGTAGAAAAAAAACATGGAGGTAATTGGACTTTGTGAACACTGTATACGATGGTGCTTCAGGTTAAATGTGTTTGGCAAGCAATTTACATGCCCTTGTTGTTGACTGTGCAATTTTGCTGCTGTTGGTTGCTGAGTCTAATTGTGAGTATATGTATACAGAAGGGGAGTGCTCGTTGGAGATATGGCAGCAATAACACTGAGGAAGGAAGCAGCAATGAACTCAGTAACCACAGACTGGCAAAGTTAGTGGTGACTTCAGAAGGCAAATGGAAAAATAGAGGAAGAACCTAATGTCAGGACTAATACTAGTTTTTCTATTGAACAGATTTCAAATTGTTCTGTTTTGGCATCTAAATAAGATTTAAAGATTTTTTTTAAAAAAACAGCCCTAGGGGCTTTGTGTCCTTTTTCCATCTAAACTGGTTTAGCACTAAACCACCCAGACCGGTTTGAATGTTGATTTCTTGTCTGCACGTAGTCCAAGTTGACACTCGCTCCATTGTCAAGAGGCGCCGTCCTTCAGATGAGACGTTAAAAATTGAGGTCTCGTCTGCCTGTCCGGGTGGATGTTAAAGATCCCGCGGCACCATTCGAAAAGAGAAGGGAATTTCTCTTAGTGTCGTGGCCAATAATCCCTCCGGTAGCATCGGTCACTCACTTCATAGCTATTTGTGGGGACACTGCTGTGGGAGAATCAGCTGCCGGGTTTCACCCGCAAAATGCACAGTCAATTTACCTTACGGAATGCTTTGTGAAGCGCTTTGAGACGTCTCGACGATGTGATAAGGCGCTGTATCAAATGCAAGGATTATTATTAATATTTTAAGCGATAAAAGTATCAATCTGACCATATGCTCATTTTCAGAGAAAATCAGGAGGTAAAGGTGTGCAGTTCAGAATCCACGACTCTCAGTTTGTGCTGAAGTGGAGCATTGATTTATTAGGTGCTCTGTCCAGGAGAGAAACACCCTCAGGGCGCATGCGCCAACGCCCGCCCCTGTCCACTACAACTCCCGCCATGCCCCGCGGCCGGCATCCTCCTCTGATTGGCTGAGTTGAGCGGAAGTGAACCGGGATCACTTCCGTGTCACACAGAAAAAAAAAAGGTGAGAGAAGACGGAGACGGCGCCGCGGAATGTTCGGGAAAGAAAAGAAAGAGGGCGAGAAAAAAGAGATAGAAGGAGCGAAAGAAAGAGGGATAGACAGAGGTAGAGAGGGGGAATGAAAGAAAGGAAGGAATAGAGAAAAGGAGATAGAGAGAGAAAGAAGGAGAGAGCGAGGGGAGGAATGAAAAACAGAGATGAGAGACAGATAGAGAGGGAAAGGGAAAGAGAAGAGGGGGATAGAGAAGGAAGGTAGAGAGTGAAAGAGAAAGAAAAAGGGCGGGTGAGGCTCTCATTCTCTCTCTCTCTCTCTCTCTCTCTCTCAGTCAGAAGGCTGTGTGTTGGAGCCTCGTGTAGAACTTGCCCCTCTCTGCCCGGCGCTGGGGAGCGCAGCGGCGTTGTTGGAGTTGCGGTCCTTCAGATAACAATAATCTTTCATTCAATGTAGAGCCTTATGTCATTGGCGTCTCAAAGATGAAGCATGAATAAACGGATCGAGGTCGGGGCACCCAGGCCGGGACGTGAAAGATCCCAGTGCGTTTCTCCCGATCAGTGTTAGTCGCTCCAAGTCGCTCTTTGTGGGTTCTCGCTTTGTGTCAAATGGCTGCCACCATTGTCCACAAATACAGTCACCGCAATTGACAATAATTGGATATGAAGCGCTTTGAGATATTTGGTGCTGTAAATCTATTGCAATGAAGCGCTTTGATTGAGTTGTCAAAGATGTGATAAGGTGCTGTATCAAATGCAAGGATTATTATTATTTAAGTGGATTCTAATCAGAGGAGGGCAAAAGCAAACTGCTCATGGGGATGCAGTTCTAAACTATTTTCAGATTATTAGCTAGATTCAAACTCCTGGATGAGGGAAGAAGGACTGCAAAGCAGAATTGAAATGCACAGTGCACCTTTTAGGTAGTTCACAGTGGTTTATGAGGAAGTCGGAATGGCAAATTAACGCAGTTTCCTGGTTGAAGAAAGGCAAATAATGGCAGCTACATATCTGTGGATCTTATAGAAGCTGTGTCTACTCTCGTATCTATATGTATTAGCATACTATGCTTGTCATCCCTCAAATGCCTGCTGTCTTATTTGGAGAAACCCATGAATTAATTTTAAATAGAAAAAATAAGCAATGTTATTTGTTTTAAAAAAGCTTTCAAATATATTGATCTTAGGCACTGGTGAATTTCAACAAACTCAAAATTATAACAACAAAGTAGCTTGTGCAGATCCCTATATATTTATATCTGTTTCACACACCCCACCCCCAATTGTTTTATCATATGTCAATCATGTTTGTGATGGGTGTCATACTACGTCTACAATTACTTGTCTCCTCTGAGATGAGATTGTCAGTACCTTGCAGTTGCTTTCTGGCTGATCAGAGATGTGGGTAACATTTCTAATTTGTAATTTATCTCCCATCTACAATTTATTTAATACATAATTTACAGAGAAAGTGTCTGCCTGACTCAGATTGTATGGTGACATAAAGTTTATGATGTCCGCCTCATGTTTAGAATGTCTAACTTGTCCATTTTCAGCTATTTGAATTGAATTCCCTCTCATTCTCTATCAGGATATGGCAGGACGGAAGAGAGAGTGTTACCTCTTGCTTTTTGTGCTAAATTTCGCCCACAAAATATACAGTCAATTCACTTTATAGTATATTCTGTAGAGCTCTTTGAAACATCTCAATGATGGGATAAGGCACTACATCAAATGCAACGATTATTATCATTATTCTTTCTTTCACATTCAATAGATTACTTCTGTAAATGGATCCTGATTCGAAAAACGTGGACCTTTCGGAAAAATTGGGAACTATTCTAAACATTTCAGAGAGTGAAACAAAAGGGCAGGATGTAACATCTAAGAAGTTGAGTTGCGGTGAATCAGCTGACAGCAGACAGGTGCCTGTGGAGAATAGCACTTTGGGAGCCTGCGGGGATACAGAGAAGCCACAAATTGCTCACGTCAGTTGTGATCAAGAAACAGTAGAAGAACACTTCTATGAGTGCAGAGAATCACTGGAGTCTGATGACTGTGGAACTGCTGAGTGTGTGGAGGGTGCGGCAAGTCTGTCGCCTGAGGATGACATTGAAGTAATGAAAACTAAAAAGCTTGAATTTGATGAAGAATATTTGCGAGAGCTGGAAAAAGATCTACCAGAGGAAGAGAAAAAGGTAATTAATTGGTGGGAACAGCAATCTTGTTACAAGTTTCAACTATGGGCTGTTAGACTTTATCATAAAAAGTCCACTCAGCAGCGTTGTTTCCTGTCCCCATTGATGGACAAGCAAGTCCTGACCACATGAAATCATGAAATTTAGCAGTAAGTAGGAACCCAGTTGTTAGTCGATTGGTGGATCACTTTTCTGGGGATAATAATCCTTCAAAAAAACAATAATAATTTGGTCAATCAATCTATGACTGTTTGTGGGACACTGCTATATTCAATTGCCTGCCACATTTTGCTCACTAATATACAGTAAACTCACTTTACAGTGTATTCTGAGAGAGTGATTGAGAGAGGGGGAGAGCTGTGGGAGAGTGAGAGGGGGAGACAGAGAGAATGTGAGAGGGGGAGACAGGGGAGGAGAGAGAGTGTGAGAGAGAGGTGCACAACTGGCTGCTGCATTTCGCCCACAAAATATACAGTCAATTCACTTTACAGTATATTCTGTGAAGTGATTTGAGACGTCTTAGACACGTGAAAAGCGCTATATTAAATGCAAGGATTATTATTATATATAATGAAATTAGAATCTCATCCTAAACTGCATTAGTTAATTATAATACACAAAATACCTAGTCAGTTCACTTTACAGTATTCACTTAGCAAAGAACCGGACAGGAGAAGAGGAGAAAAAAATTAAGTAGTGAATTGTTATGATCTGGAATGCACTGCCTGAAAGGGTGGTGGAAGCAGATTCAATAATAACTTTCAAAAGGGAATTGGATAGATACTTAAAAAGAAAATAATTGCAAGGCTTTGGGGAAAGAGCGGGAGAGTGAGACTTTCAAAGAGCTGGCACAGGCACGATGGGCCAAATGGCCTCCTTCTGTGCTGCCGGATTCTATGATTCTAGTTTAATCACTTAACAGTATATTCTTTGAAGCGCTTTGAGACGTCTCAACAAAGTGATAAGACTCTATATCAAATGCAAGGATTATTATTATTCGTTGCAGGGTTATTGGTTATTGGTGAAAAGGTATTAAAAATAAAGGTAACAGCTGAATGCGTACATAAAGAGTTATACCTTTATGTTTTTGCCCTGGTCTGTAATGCACTGCTGATGATTTTTGCTCTTTGACAAAATTTACATTACAGAAAAGACAAGATGAAAGTCTGAAGTTAAAAGGAAATGGAAATGAACAGTTTAAAGGAGGAGGTAGGTGTTTTCTCCGAGATTCGTGTAATGGGATCAATTACTTTGAAGGTGTCCATCATACCCAGTGGGTAGTTTAAAAACAGCTTTGCCAATATGTATCTATTAAATTGATCGCTTTACTTAGAGTTTAAGAATTATTTTCAAATAGGTTGTAGTTTGCTGTTCCTTCTTTCCATTCTCTTCCTCCTCTCCAACCCCCCCCCCCCCCCCCTTCAATTTGCAGTTGAGGTACTTTTCAATTTGAGGATCTATTTCTATATTAATCCGGTGTGTGTCATCTGGTAGGAAGGTTTCACAGGCAACACACAAGAGCTAAAGATTAGGGAATCAACTTGTGGAATCAGCAAATCTGTGTTGTTTTTTGAGTGGTTCAATTGTGTATACCCATAATATTTTTTTAAATGTATTGCAAAGTTTAAACACAAACAATATCAGAACAGACACAAGAAACCCACACTATCCTGTCACATGGTTCCCTTTTTATATTGGCTATCTCATTACTTCCCAATTCAATAACACCATTGCGAAAGTTAAAATGGCTTTCTTCCAGAGAACACAACAACTGCTTTTAATAGAGCAGTCGCTTGGCAAGCAAGAGGACCTGATTCAATTCCTGGTTAGGCAAGTTTTCTTACTCCACATGCCTCTATTTACCTAGGAAGGTTTAAGTAGGAAACCAGAAGTAAGTAGGAACCCATTCGTTAGTAAATTGGTAGATCGGTTTTCCAGGTGGAATTGTCCCTTCAAAAAAATAAATTAAAATAAATAAATAATAATTTGGTCACTCAATCCACGAATGTTTGTCTCCACTAACGGCTCCTCCTCCAGCCGCCGCACCATTACGTGTGGCGTCACTCAGGGCTCTGTTTTTGATCCCTTTGAAGCCACTCTGTGACAGGGAGCCAGTGGAGTTTGGCAAGGATCTCTGGCTGTTCAATTTAGGTTTGCATTCATTTCCATTGTACACATTGTGTGATAGACGGCAAGTAAACTGTGTATTTTGCCAATTAGTGCTTATGATACCGTATTAATGATGGGAATGCTCTGAAGTCTTTCAAAAACTGCAGTGGTTTCTTAAAGTACAAACTGAAAGGTGCAGGTTTTTATTGAAGCATAAATATGGATAGCTTTTTTTGATAAAGGATTGAGATCAAATGGTGAAAGTACCACTTATAAGAAACAGCAATTTGGATCAGAGAATGGTTACTGAAAATTGTGTTCTAGATTTAAGCAAGAATTAACTGAAACCATCACGCTCTGCCAAGTTGAGGTTGGATCTTGTTTTGAATAAAGTGAGTTTGTGTTCTCCGGATGAACACCATGCAGATTTTAGCTTCCACCATCTTGTTTGCCAGATCATTTCTAACCAGTCTTTAAAGCTTAGTTTTCTTCTGTGTCACTGGCAGTGGTTTTATTTGAATACATTATGTTTTCTGATCCTCTGTGATAATCTAGTGGATTTCACAAGTGTTTCTCTCTTCTGAAATTCACCTCTATTTAGAAGATATAATTCTAGTTCTTTTTTCGACCTCCTCAGGCCTCTACATATGTTTATATCCTTCTTGAATCTCAAATGTTGAAACTGCCAACTTGTGATGTAATCAAATACTCTTATAAATTTGCTTGTTACAAGAATTGACATTTATTTTACAATCAATTGATGGCAAACAGAGCGTAATTGCTCCAGGATTAAATTGTACCTTTTCACTTGCTCGTGGCCAGTAATCAAAGTATCAAATTCTCCCATTGCCTTGGGGGTACTTGTGCAGGCAACTAGAGAGCAACCTGTGGAATCAAAGATGCTTCTTGCTTCTGTTCGCCTCGCAAGGAGAGACCTTGTTCGATTCTCAGCAGGGCAAAATGTTAGGTGGGATTTAAAGATAGATAAATAAAAGTAGTCACTCACTCCATGACTGTTTATGTGACACTGCTGTGCACAACTGGCTGCGCATTTCACCCATAAAAGACATAGTGTACTTTACAGTATATTCTATGAAAAGCTTTGAGATATCTCAACATTGTGATTAGGCGCTATATCAAATGCAAGAATTATTATAAAGAGATTCCAGAGATTAGCGGCACAGTGTTTGAGGACACGACTATCGATAATTGCCTGGAGGGGTCAAGGATGCTGTGTTGAGGGTGGGTGAGCAGACGAGTGGGGTCTGAGCAGACCAGAGGGGTGAGAACCTAAGCTCGATAACAAAATTATTCTTTTTTGCAGTGGAAAGCAGTGTGAGTTGGGCATAAGTTGACCTAGTTCTGTGTTCACTGCTGTCAAACACAGGGAAGGAGGGAATTCCTACTGTGATTCTACTAAGCCAACTCTGACTACGTGTAAAGTGATTGTATAACTGAAATCACATGTTGCAATGTCCATTAAAATGAGGAGATACATAGTCCAGCTTCAACTAATCACTTATTTGACGTTCTCCCGACGTGAAAGGCGCTATACAAATGTAATCTTGTTGTTATTGTATTTGCTGGGTATGTGCAGTGAAGTCCTGTAGTGTATTGGTTAGAGCACTCACCTTGCAAGCGAGAGTACCTGGGTTTGATTCCTGGGCAGGGATCCTTAGCCAAGTTTCCTTACTCCATGCGCCTGTTTATTCAGTGCCTTGGAACGTCCTCCCGACGTGAAAGGCACTATACAAATGTAATTCAGTGTTGTTATTGCTTGTATGCTCTTTCCTTTGTGTTTGGAGCATTTTGTTGGATTTTTACATCTCAATAAGTGCTTGGGGTTCACCAAACAGTTCTGATGTAAAAATATTAATAATCCTTACATTTGATACAGAGTCTTGCATATGTGGAGTCGTGTAGCTCAGTGGTTAGAGCACTTGCCTCGCAAGCGAGCAGATCCTTGAGTTTGATTTATGGAAGGGCGAAATGTTGGGCAAGTTTCCTTACTCCACACGCCTCTGTTTACCTAACAATAAGTAGCAACCCGGTTGTTAGTTGATTGGCGGATCGCTTTTCCAGGGGTAATAATTCCTTCAAAAATAATAATAAATTGGTCACTTCAATTCCCGACTGTTTGTGGGACACTGCTGTGCGCAATTGGCTACCACATTTCGCCCACAAAATATACAGTCAATTCACTTTACGGTATATTCTGTGAAGCGCTTTGAGACGTCTCGAATACGTGATAAGGAGCAATATCAAATACAAGGATTATTATGTTCACACCATGTCTTCACACACTGACTGTGGGTGTTTAATTGTTCATTCCAGGCTCCAGGCTTACATCATGTATATTTTTGCACATTTGACAATATAAGAATACGCATCTCTTATCACAGACTCATACAGCAAAGAAGGAGGCCATTCAGCCCATTGTGTCCGTGCCAGCTCTTTGAAGAGAGCTATCCAATTCAATTCCACACCCCCGCTCTCTCCCCATAGCCCTGCAAACTTGTCCTACCCAAACGGGACATTCATTTAGTGAGTAATTGACTGAAGAATTTGGCATTGCTTAGGAAGGAGAGAGGTATTGACCCGAGAAACCCCATGTAAGGAATGTATAATTAGGAAAAGCTTGTAGAACCAGAGTATAGAATCTTTGTGATAGAATATAAGAACAGAAGAAATGCTAGATTAAAAAAAGGCCAAGGTTCATCGAGTTCACCTTCTACCTTCCTGGCAGTCGCATGCCTATATATCCCGAACTACCTATATACTATATCCCATAATGATATTTCCTAAAAGAAAACTATCATAGAATGATATCATGGCAAACAAATCCTGTGTTTGAAAGAATCAACACTGTTTCAACCATCTCCTGGTCCACAGGTTCACTCTTCGCTCACTGAAATAGTGTTTACGTAGATTTGTTCTGAATTTACTCCCTTCAATCACAGGCCATGTCCTCTGGTTCTACTATTCTGGATAAGTTGGAACAGCCTGTCCTGATCTATATTGTGTAGCCCCTTTAGAATCCTAAAGACAGCAATCATATTGCCTCAGAATTTTCTCTTTTCCAGCATGATCATGCCCAATTTACTTAGTTGCTCCTCATAGTCCAGTCCTTCCATTCCCTTAATCATTTTGGTTGCCCTCCACTGTATCTTCTCGATGTCTCCAATATCCTTTTTGTACTTCAGCGACCAGAACTGTACAGTGACAGGATTACCCCACTATTTCGGCTGCTATTGATCTTTTGATACATCCCAACATCTGGTTTGCTATACTCACTGCCACAGAGCATTGTTGGGAGAGCTTCAATTTATTGTCAATCGGATTGCCCAGGTCTTTTTCATTTTCCATACATATTATTTTCCTTCTGTTCAAATAATAGTTAATTCCAGAAGTTTTTGTCTCCATGTGAAGTACTTCACATTTCTCTACATTCAATTTCATCTGCCGCCGATCTGCCCAATTTCCAAGTATGTTCAAATCCTCCTGTAATCTATCTTGTTCAGCTTCGCAATCTACCGTCTTCATTAGCTTAGTGTCATCTGCAAATTAGCCACTGTGCTTGCGACTCCTAGTTCCAGATCAGTTATAAAAATATTAAACAAAAGAGGTCCCAAAACAGACCCTTGTGGAACTCCATTGGTAATATGTTCCCAATCTGACGACATTCCCTGTGCCACCACCCTCTGGGTACATCTGGGTAATAGGAGGAGGCCTTTCAGCCCATCATGCCTTGTCCATCATTACTCCTTCTGTTTTCGTAACCCTTCTATTTCACGCACATTGTTGCCCTCCTAATATTATGTGGATTTATGAGACGCAACTAAATTCAGGTTGATGGTAAGTGTTGTTGGAAATATTTCCGATACCCAATTCTGATTCTGCGAGCTTCTGCTCAAACGTTTTGAATTTAAAAAATCCTGAAAACATTCTTTGCTTTGAAAATTATGATGACATTGTTCTTATTGTTTCTGAATATTTTGGAAATTAATGGATGAGAGGAATTATCGTAAGTGAATCTTTAACATGGCAAACAAATCCTGTGGCAACAGCCAAGGCAGCAGTTTTGTTAGATACAAAACCCACAGCAGAGCTTGACCTTTTCATTCATTTATCCTGTGCTTATTTTATGAAAACGAAGTGTCCCGAGATTGGCAATTGGCAATTTGGAAATCCACCTATCTCTTGTGTTGTTTTATTTTCAGAGTACACAGAAGCAGAGACTTCGTACACCAAGGCTCTTGAGGTTTGCCCCGCTTGCTACCAGAAGGACAGATCCATTTTGTATTCCAATAGAGCTGCTGCTAGAATGAAACTGGTAAAGCATTTCATGCATTTCCATAGCATGTTTTTTTTCAGGATTGTCTAGAATCATAGAATCTTGCAGCATAGAAGGAGGCCATTTGCCTGTGCCAGCTCTTTGAAAGAGCTATCCAACTAGTCCCATTCCCCCGCTCTTACTCTATAGCCCTGCATTTTTTTCCTTTTTAAGTAACTATTCAATTCCCTTTTGAAAGCTACTATCGAATGTGCTTCCACCTATTCAGGCAGTGTATTCCAGACCATAGCCCTGGGTAAAATAAATTCTCATCTCCCCTCTGGTTCTTTTGCCAATTATCTTAAGTAAAGGATAAAGGGTCTAGGTAAAGTATTTTTACATACTCTTATAAAAGAATTGAACTGCGCTTTACAAGTAGATTTTTTGGACAACTTCTTTGCTGTTAAGAGTTTTATTAACAATAGTGAAGCAGTTCATGTGTTTGGTGTGCAATGTTTGCAAATTGAAGTCAAAAATTAGTGGGAGCGGCTAAATCTGTTTTTTTAAATTGTTTATGCAGTATTCCTTTTCTTTACAATCTGCTGCAGATTAATGTGCTGTCTCTACAGGCATTTAATTCTGCAGCTCACTGTAACTGTCAGGTGCCCAGTCTCTATTCCACAAGGATTCCTAAAAGCATTTGTTTGCCCAGAAAACCCTTGTGCTAGTTTTAATAATAATAATAATAATCCTTGCATTTGATATAGCGTTTTTCACGTCTTCTAGACGTCCCAAAGCACTTCACAGAATATACTGTAAAGTGAATTGACTGTATATTTGTGGGCGAACGCGGCAGCCAATTGCGCACAGCAATGTCCCACAAACAGTCATGGATTGAAAATGACCAATTTATTATTGTTTTGTTTTTTTGGAGGGATTATTATTTAAATGACCACAAGGGAAAAAAACGGCAATAGTTCCGAAAGAATCTTGATGCTAGGAGAAAATAAAATAAGTTTTCAATTCCTTCACAGAAGGATTTATGAAAAAGTCTGTAAAATCTTTGCAGATCCTTCCCGATCTTTTATTATGTGAAAATAGTGCCACCAATACATTGACCATTTTACTGTTGTCTACTAATAAAAGTCAAGAAACAGGTTGTGGAACCACATATTCTTAGTTGGGTCACATTGACCTAAAAAAAATACAATCTTACTGTTGTGTGTCCAAGTCTGCAAACTGGATTAATTCAGCAATTTGACTGCAATTGTGTTATATCGACTGCAAAGCAAAGGCAGGGATGATTAATAATTAAAATAAAATTACGATGGCAAATGCATACTGCTGGAAATTTTCACATCGCTTTTAGGCGCAGAACTATTGAATGTGGCAAGTCAGATTTAGCTTTTCTGATCTCAATCACTCTCTCGGGAATTGGGAGAGTTCTACACATGTGCAGAGTGTGCAGAGTTCCACAAAGCAGAATCATCAACAGTGTGTTGTTTTCTGGGTTGATGAGGCTGGATTGCTCTTGAGGACATGCCATGTAGATTCTGTACAATAGTTTTGATACATTTCAGGTATTAGGAAAGGAGAAGTAAACATCCTAACAAATAATTAAAGTATTTTAGTGTAGAGTTCCAGAGGGCTGTACTGTACAGGAAAGGTTAATGCAATCCTGAATATATCCTGCAGACTGTAGTAATACAATACGTGTCAGTGTTTCTTTGTGAACCAACCAAACTGAGTCTTCCAGCAACTATTTGAACTCAATATTTTGTGCGATAGAATGCATATTATCCCCATGACCACTTGTACACATTGAGCTCTTAGAGAGCGAGAGAGAGAGAGAGGAGTATCAGGACCAGCGTGAGTCGAGAAGAAAATTGGAATTGTAAGGGACAGACTAAAAAATAGGCTGAGCAAGTGTTCTATCTTGTGTTAGACTTTTTGTTTGACTAACATTTCTGTGTTGTTCTCAATGTTTTTACCTTATTCGTGTGGTTTTCTGTTTCAGGAAAAGAAGGAAGATGCCATCTCTGATTGTACCGAAGGTACGCTTTGTGTTTGTAAGAAAGAAAAATCACATTCCATTAGATTATTCTCAGAATGTAAAGTTTTACATTTAAAAGTGCAGTACTTCTTACTGGTGTTATCAGGAATATTGAATATTTGATGACTAGAGTTTACAGTTTATTTAAAATTCAGTAACTAACTAGTTTTTCACTATTTAAATGGAAGAAAATGTCATTGTATCAGGAGCCACTAGGAGGCATTCGGCATTTGTGGGTTTAGTTGTTTGTTGCAAATCTTTTACATTTCCTACCATGTAAGTCACTGTGAAGATGAAACTGAGCAGTTAAATCAAAGTCAGTGCTGTTATAATATATCTCTTCCATTTCATAGCTATTCAATTAAATCCCAATTACATTCGTGCTATACTGAGGCGGGCTGAGCTGTATCAGCAAACAGAAAAGCTTGATGAAGCGCTGGAAGACTACAAAATGGTTGTAGAGAAAGATCCTTCAGTGGTACAAGCTAGAGAAGCCTGTATGGTAAGTATGTGCTCAATTAGGATTGACAGTCTGTGTTAAAACTTTGCCAGTTCTATCTTTTGGGGCCTTCAGTTCCTACATGTGCACAATAGGCTGCCAAGTTTCGCCCACAAAATACACAGACACTACACTTTACAGTATATTCTATGAAGCGGTTTGAGAAGTCTATAAGACGTAAAAAGCACTATATGAAATGCAAGGATCATTATTATTGTTACATGAAACCGATGTGGGTGTAATTCTCTCCTGCATTTCTTTACTTTGATTTCATTTTCTAGGTACAAAGTGCTGAGTTAATTTTTCCCTGTTGACTTCTTTGTCTAAGTGTTGGTTTTCTTTAGCATCAAGATATGTACACTCCGATCCTGCACAGGCATTTTATCTTTCGCTGAGACTCTAGTCAGTTTGAGCTTTTAGAGTGGATTTTGGAATATTCTGTATATTTGCCAGACTGTCACTGAGACAACATTTCTTTGCTATATTCTCCAGCACAACAGTTTCAGAAGGCAGATTTCCTTTAAAATACCTTTTCCCCTCAACAGTACTGCCATCGCATTATTACATATAACTCAGATTTTTGGCTCAAATTGAAAAATCATTAACAGGCAAGCAATCATCAGAATTTTTACTCGACAGTTTTCAATATCTTGCTGTCCATCTGCTTAAGTAATTTGGCAAACATCTTATCAGCTGGCACACTCATTTTGTTTTGGCAGTTGAAGTGTTGAGGGGTTCCATTGTATATGTTGGGAAGATGAACCCTTTTCTGAATGCAGGCTGGTGTTGCAGGTAACACACTCTTTCAGCCTTGGGACCTTGTTTCCAATTCAATGCAGACATGTGACATAGCAGCATAGAAATGTTCTGCATGTTTGGCCCATTATGTCTGTGCTAATGCTTCCTGCTAAGACCAGTTTGACTTGGTCAGTTCAGGGTTTCATACCTGAAAAATTGAGACAGCAAGCTAGGCTTGTATGGGTTCATTTAACCAGTTTATTGAGGCTCAAATAATTTGGGGACACATTTTCATTATTTTGAGAACTTGAGATGGAGCACACACATCAAATTAGCTTTGATCACAAATTCATTGTGACCTCTGCATTCAACTCAGTTACAGTCACATTAAACATTCTACTAATTTTACATACAAGAAGTCAGAATACTCAAATGTTGATGAACTTTTGATCCTCTAGCTCTCAGCCCAGCTTTGTTTGAAACAATTGCATTACACTGCCTTATTCAACATTCCCTGTTTGGGAAAGTTGCTTATCTGGAACTCTTTTGCAAAGCTGCTTAGGCTTTCTCCCTCCCATATTTCTTTCAAAAACCTAAAGAGACGTTTCTTGACCATGCCTCCGCCCACTTTGGGACACTGCTGTGGGCAATTGGCTGCTGTGTTTCGCCCACTAAATGTACAAGTCAATCTACTTTACACTATATTCTGTGAAGGACTTTGAGATGACAATTTGATAAGGTGCAATATTAAATGCAAGGCTTCTAAATTTCTCCCTGGTCTCTGTGCACTGTTCCTGTTGAAGCTTTTGGTATATATATTTTGTGTTAAAGCTTCTACCTAAAGGTTTATTCATAAAAAGCTGTTTTGCTCCAATAACTGATATGCCACTGCACATTTGTATTAAACAATGAAAACACAAATGTCATAATCTTTGTATATCAAAATGTTGCCTATGCAAGGACACAAATAAGGAGCACAGTTCATGCCAGTACATTCCTTTTTTAGGCTATTTTTAGCCAAGTTATGCTGTACATCAGATTTTGAAATTAAACAGTGACCATGTGTTTCACTGCAATCGTGATTTAAAGCTGTTACCTGATCTTTTTCTAATGTTTTGGTCATGAAACAAAATTTAATTTTGAATGTTAGCTTTCTATTCTGTGTGGTGTCCTTTGCCATACTCGTTATTTCTATACAGTATTTTTATTAGATTTATTTTACTGACTAAATTTTGTGTTTCGGCCACAAAACATACAGTCAATTCACTTTATTGTGAAGCACTTTGAGACTTCTCAAAGATGTGATAAGGCTCTAAATCAACTGCACGGATTATTATTAAATAATTGTTGTCAAGGCTCATTTTTTAAAAAAAAGTATCAGGAGGTGTTAGCGAGGCCAATAAACCTTTCCGGATCAAAAACAGAAATTGCTGGGAGCAGGTGGGAAGTGAGTCAATGTTTCAGGTCCACGGCCTTTCGTCAGAACCCACCTTTCCAGATGTTTAATTAACAGAAAAACATTAATTTTTTCAGTGATTTTTGTTTTTTTTCAAAGTTGCTGAAATTAATGTCTCAGTAGTTTGATTTTTGATGGTAATAATAATCCTTGCATTTGATATAGCGCCTTATCAAGTCGTTGAGATGTCTCAAAGCGCTTCATAGAATATGCTGTAAAGTGTAGTGACTGTATATTTTGTGGTTGAAATGCAGCAGCCAGTTCTGCACCTCTCTCACACTCTCTCTCTCTCTCCCCTCCGCCCTCTCACATTTTCTCTGTCTCCCTTCTCAATCACTGTCTCACACAGTCTCTCTCTCTCATTCCCCCTTATCTCTCCCTCAAACACAAACTCTCTCCTCCTCCCACCCCCCATCTTTTGCTTCCTCCCCCCTCTCCCCTCTCATAAGAACATTAAAAAATGCTAGATGAAAAAAGACCGAGGTCTGTCTAGTTTGCCTTCCAACTTCCTGACAGTCACATGCACATATGTCTCAAACTACCCATGTTCTATATCCCATAATGTTATTTTGTAAAAGAAACCTACCGTCTCCCTAGGGAGTCTGTTCCACGGGATCACTAGTCGCTCACTAAATTACTGTTTGCGTAGATTGTTCTGAATTTACCCCACTTCAATCGCAGGCCGAGTCCTCTGGTTTTACTATTCTGGACAAGTTGAAACAGACTGTCATGATTTCTACATTGTCTAGCTCCCTTTAGAATCTTAAAAAACAGCAATCATGTTGCCTCTTACATTTTTTTCCCCCAGCGTAAACGTGCCCAATATACTTAGTCATTCCTCATAGTCCATTCCCTCAGTCGTTTTCGTTACCCTCCTCTGTATCTTCTCGATTTCTCCAAAAATCCTTTTTGCACTGCGATGACCAGAACTGTACACAAGTACGGTCTCACTAATGATTTATAAGTGGCAGGATTACCCCACTATTTCGGCTGCTATTGATCTTTTGATACATCCCAACATCTGGTTTGCTATACTCACTGCCACAGAACATTGTTGGGAGAGCTTCAATTTATTGTCAATCAGGACCCCCAGGTCCTTTTCACTTTCCCTACATATTATTTTCCTTCCGTTCAAATAATAGTCCCTTGCAGGATTTTCTGTCCCCATGTAAAGTACTTTACATTTCTCCACATTGAATTTCATCTGCCACCAATTTGCCCAATTCCAATTCCCAAGTATGTTCAAATCCTCCTGTAACCTATCTTGTTCAGCTTCACAATCTACCACCTTCATTAGCTTAGTGTCACCTGCAATCTTAGCCAGTGTGCTTGCGACTCCTAGTTCCAGATCATTTATAAAAATATCAAACAAAAGAGGTCCCAAAACAGACTCTTGTAGGACTCCACTGGTAACATTTTCCCAATCTGATGACATTCCCTGTACCACCACCCTCTGGGTTCTTCCTGGCAACCAGATACGTATCCATTGTAATATACTTCCACTGATTCCCACTTTCTTTACTTTCAGTACCAGTCTCTCAAGAACTGTATCAATGACCTTATTGAAATCCAGATGTACAACATCCACAGCCTTACCCTTATCAAGCTCCCTTGTCACACCATCAAAGAAACCCAGTAAATTAGATTGGCAAGACCTTCCCTTCATGAACCCATATTGGCTATCATTTATGATTTTATTTCTGTCCAGGTGCTCCATGATTTTATAATAAGTCTCCATAATTTTACCCACAATGGACGTCAAATTTACTGGTCTGTAGTTTACTTCACTTTTGTTACGTTTCTTAAAAATAGGAGTAACATCTCCTTTCTCCAGTCCCTCTCCAGTTTTCAGTGATTTTTGAAAGATTTGTGCCAGTTTTTCTTTTTCCCTTAGTTCCTTAAGGATCTATTTAAAGGCATCTCGGATGACATTTATCCGGCTGCTGAGATTTATTTACCTTAAGTTTGCACAGCTGTTTGGTGACCATGCTGTGAGAGACATGAATGGTGTCGCAACTTTCCTCTGTGACATCCTTGCATTCTCTTTCCAGATTAGATAGGCTACCTATCTCCTCCTTGGTAAAGACTGATACAAAAAAACTTATTTAGCAACCTGAGACGGTTCTATCACCCTTATATGTACACTTATGATATGGCTCTCTCCCCCTCGCAATGTACTGGGTGGCCTCTGTGTTGAATCCTCACTAATGAATGCAAGTTCCTATAACTAGGTGTAACTTGACTAATGAATTCTTCAACGTTGATAGGTACTACCAATTACTATTTAAATTAAAGCAAATTGGGAAGCTTCAGACAATCAGAAGTTTATTTTACACTTCTGTGACCTAGGCTGAACCTGTTTGTGTATTCCCTCCTTTGGTTCACACAGAAAGCTCAAGAAAGCAGTTAAGTTAGCTCAACAGAATTTTATTGTTGCTTCAATGGAATCCACAACCCTCAGCATTAAATCTTAAACGACACAATAAATATCAACAAACACAACTCTGAGATAACAAACATTAATCAACCTTAAATTACACACGCCAGCAGCCACTTGTAATAAAGTTGTGAATGTAAAAGAACCAATGTCTGACTATTGCTCATCAATAGTCAGAGTATGTACAAAATAGTGACCCCGGGCACATGGCGCTCGTTCTGTCATGGGCGTTGAGCCCCTACCGGAATGAAGTAATTGGTGCCTTAGGGTCAATCAGCTCTTCCCCTCAGTTGCCCAATAGGAAACAAATTACACTTCCAATCCCTCATTTGCATATTAGAATGGTAATTACCGCCAAATTGTTGCAATCGACACTTAAGTCAAACTTATTGGCACCATAAATATCAAAAATGTTAAATACATTTAAAAATGCATTTAAAAAATGTATTTAAAGTTCTACTCAATATATTTAAACAACAGACAGGCATAGAAAACAAAAGGGGTGACCATGACAAGCCTGTGCAGCATTATTTGTCATGTTCTCTCCTGAACCCATCTTCAGTGGCCCTATTCCATTACTTGTTTTTCTTTTACTTAATGTAACTAAATAAATCTTTCTGTTATTATCCTTCACATCTCTTGCCATGTTCAATTCAAAGCTTTCTTTGCCATTCTGATGCCTTTTTTGTAGTCCTGGCATGCCTACTGGTATTGAATCTGACTTAATTCTGTGCCATTTTCCTTCATGGCCTTAAATGTCTTTTTTTCCTCTTTTAAGATTTGCTTTGTAGCCCTGTCCAACCAGGCAGGAGCGCCTTTAAGCTTGGTACCTTTGTTCCATTGCCTTCATTATCACCTCCTTGAAGGAACTCCATAGGTTCGTCCACTCTCATTGCCATATTTAAGCCTGTCAGGCCCACTCCAACTAGACTTCTCAAGCACACAAAGTCAGTTCTCTTGAAATTTGGCAGTTTGGGATTTTTTTTATAACCTCATCAATTCTTGTGATTGCATTGTGATCGCTGTTGCCTATTGCTTTTCCAACCTTTATGTTGGAGATTTGGTCATCTCTGTCATTCATTATCAAATCCAAGATGTTATCTCCCCTTGTTGTCTATTTTACAAACTGATTCATAAAACAGTCGTCGTTTAACTCTTAACCAGTAGACACATTATTATCCCAATCAATTTCGAGTAAGTTAAAATTTCCAAATACTATGATTGGTCCCTTGCTAGTTGCATTCCTTATCTCACCCTACAGTTCCAGATCAAGGCTTTCACCCTGGCTTGGGGGTCTATAGCAAACCCCCTGTAATAGCTTATCTCTGTTACCATCTTTTAATTCTACCCAAAGTGATTTTGTGTCTGCCCTTTCCTTTTCCATATCTTCTCTCACTTGTGTTTCAATAATGGAGCTTGTATATAGTGCCACACCACCTTCTCTTCTGATACAGTCCCTCCTAAACAGTTTATAACCTTCCAGATGAGTATCCCATTGATTGGATTCATGTCAGAATGACGGAGGGTCGTGGACCCGAAACGTTGACTTACTTTCCTTTCTCTATAGATGCTGCTTGACCTGCTGAGTGTTCCCAGCAACTTCTGTTTTTGTCTCTAGACCAATGCCTTAGCCACGCATTGGTCTGCCTAATTACCCTCTTGTCTTTCCTCACTAGCAAGTGGTACAGGTAGTATTTCAGAAAATACTACACTTGAAGTCTTTCCCTTTAGCTTCCTTCCTAATGCTCTAAATTTAGCATAAAGCATGAAGGATTTCTCAATCCCTCTCTTCCAATCAGCTGCGTGGTTCATTATCTGCACAGTGGTTGCTAAGGACGCGGTAGTTAAGAGATGCGTTTGCCTTCCTGACAGACTGTAGTAATGGCCTGTATTATTTCCGCTCTCCGCACTGCGGCTCCTGTTGCTGCCATGGGAGGATGTTCACTAGGGAGGAAGGGAGCAGAAGTTGGAATGTTGGAAATGATCTCGTTGGAAAAATCACACGCCAGGCCGGATGGCTGACAACAACAACTTTGCATTTATATAGCACCGCTCATGCAGGGTAGCAACCCAGAGCGCTTGACAGTGGTGGAGAAGGTCTCCGAGCCAGGAGTACCTTAGTAAAGTGTGTGTTTGCAGGGAAAGGGGAATTACCAGCAAAACCTGTATGACTTAACCTGACATTGGAATTTCTCAAAACACGTGTTGGGGTGGCAAGCAAATGCAGCGTTGATAATTGAGTACCTTTTTGTTCACCGGAAGGGGTGAATAACATTTACTTAGCAAGTCAGGTGGTTAATACAAACTAGAAGCATTGCTGTGGACTTGAGACATTTGATGCATAGCTTTTTCTGGCAGATTTAATTTCTTTAATAGTAATCGTAATTCTGACTGTCAGTTTCGTTCACTAACCTTGTTTCAAACCAAAACTAACTTCTGAGCTTCGACGAGGGAATTTACTTGACACAACTTACTTTCATGCATTCATGGGTGTGCTCAGATTAGGTAACCAGAAGTAAGGCCGCATTCATTTTGCAACAGAATTAAAATTGCTGCTCATTCCAGAGGAGGGCCATGCAAGTTTTATTAGGTATTGCGGCTAAAAGCACTTAGCTGCCTGTAGAGAGCCAGTTTGAATGAAAGCGTCTTACTTAAGATGAAGATGTTTGCACTTGCAGTGTCCTAGATACAATACCATGGTTACAAGCACATGTCCATCCAAATTGATTGATTGCCGTGTTCCAAGATACAGTCAAACCCCTTTTACAGGACGCTTTGGCCCCTTTCGAACGTGGATATACCATTGGTCCCCAGTATGCAAGTGCAGTAAGCTTCCTCCACATATCTAACCATATAGATCTACTTTACTAAAATCTGATCACACACCAGAAAACAAAGCGACTGACAATCCATTAATTGTGAGTTAATGGATATCAGAACGTCTAATATTCCATAAGATAAAGGAGCAGGAGTAGACCATTCAGCCCCTCGAGCCTGCCCCGCCATTTAATAAGATCACGGCTGATCTTCTAACCTAATTCCATTTACCAGCCATATCCCCATATCCCTTAATCCCTCTATTCTTTAGAAATCTATCAACCTCAGTCTTGAATATGTTCATATGAACATCCGCAGCCTTCTGGGGTAGAGAATTCCACAAATTCACTACCCTCTGAGTGAAGAAATGTTTCCTCAACTCAGTTTGAAAAGGCTGACCCTTAATCTTGAGACTATGACTCCTAGTTTTAGATTCTCCAACCAGGGGAAACAGTCTTACAGCATCTACCCTGTCAAGACCTTTAAGAATCTTGTAAGTTTCTATAAGATTACCTTTAATTCTTCTATATTCTAGAGAATATAGGCCTAGTTTACTCAACCTCTCCTCATAAGTCAACCCCCTCATCCCAGGAACCAACCTAGTGAATCTACGCTGCACCCCCTCTAAGGCGAGTATGTCCTTTCTTAAAGCCCATCATGTCCTGAGCTCCTAATCTAGGCTGACCCTCAATACAATATTGGGATGTGCTGCATTATTTCTCCACAATTGTCTGTAGGCTGCCTGGAATGATGGATACAATAATGAGTCTATTATATATGTTGATGTAGTTGATTTACCACATGCCATTTCAGAAACAAATCAGGCTGTAAATGGGTGGAAATGTACTGCATCAATTGACTCCCAATGCAAAATGGGGTGGTGTGTTACTTTTTATTTGGCAGAATGTAGAATTGGATTATTAGGTGTCCTGATATCAGGACGTATAACACCAAATCAAAGGGTACAAATATTTTGCTGAATGACAGTCATCTTATTCCATAGACCGTGACACTGCAAACAGATTATATTGCTATCCACAGGGCTGATCTACAGCACATTGTGTGCCAATAAAGGGGCTAAACTATTGCCGTTAATTACTCAGCTGGTCCTAGTCCTAGAATTATTATTTTTTTGCTTTTGAACAAACTGCAGAGGGGAAAGTACAAGATTTGTGGGTATCTTTTTTTAAAAAAAATTTGCAGTAGAATTTAGGTGAAGACGTACAAATTTAAAATGATCCAAAGAGGAAGAATCTAAATTTCTAGCCATTTGTTGAACACCGTTCACTGCTGAACTGTACCGTGTGTAGTTGTGTCCTGATAACATTGTTACCAGAACCCAACTACAAAAAAATAATAAATTGGTCACTTCAATTCACGACTGTTTGTGGGACACTGCTGTGTGCAATTGGCTGCCGTGTTTCGCCCACAAAATATACAGTCAATTCACTTTACAGTATATTCTGTGAAGTGCTTTGAGACGTCTCGAAGACGTGATGAGGCACTATATCAAATGCAAGGATTATTATTATTAAAGAAGAAGAGCTCATTCGTAGATTTGCTGATCTAGATATGATTTGGAAGAAAAATATTGGTCTTTATCAGACAGAACATAATCCAAAAGCAGAAACATTTTTTGGAATCAAATCAACCGGACAAAGTAAAATAAACACAATCACTGTGCTAGTGAATGAGGATGTCAAGCTGAGTTTTGTTGCATGCATGGTTATTATTTCATTCTCCACAATAAGACTTTAGATTTAGAGGAGAGAATACCACCAATGTTATGTGTTGACTACTTGTTATATTGCTTTAATTTCTGATATTGCTAATTATGACCAGTTCTGTGCTGTACCCAACCTGTACCCAAATATAACTTGGCCAGCAAGGTTGCTTAAAGTCACAGGATTTGGAAGGAGATTTAGTAGGTAATTATGTCATTAGATACTATTAAACTCTCTGATAGATGAAATCAGACTGCGTGTGGTCAACTTAAGTGATTCTCAGGTTATTTACTGAATGTTGTAAAGTTTATTTTGTCATTTACTAACTCTTTTCCTCTGTAGCGATTGCCACAACAGATTGAAGAGAGAAATGAGAAAATGAAGGAGGAAATGATGGGTAAGCATTTTTTTGTGTCTGGTGTAAACGGTCAGCAATGAAGTTTGTATTTAAAATAAGATAAGGCAGAGATTAAGAGGAGCAATTAGGGAGAGAAAATATCAATGCAATTTTCTACTTCTGGCACCTAATGTGTGATATATAGCACTACCTAAATATAGTCTAAAGCTACCTGTGTCTCAACTCTTAACATCAAATACGATAATCCATTGTTGCAGCAGGAATGCACTTCCTACTCATTGTTATACAGCCTTTCTGATATTGCTAATTTTGCTTTACCCAACCTAAATCCAACAATAACTTGGCCGACTGTTAAAGTTAATTTTACTTGAGACCCTCCAGGTGAGGTCAGATAACTCAGTATACCAGTAAATGTTGGGCAAGTTTCCTTACTCCACACACCTCTGTTTATCCAGCAGTAAATGGGAACCCGGTTGTTAGTCGATTGGTGGATCACTTTTCTGGGGATGATAATACCTTCAAAGAATAATAATAATAAATTGGTCACTTCAATCCATAACTGTTTGTGGGGCGCTGCTGTGCGCAATTCGCTGCAGCATTTTGCGCATAAAATATACAGTCAATTCACTTTACAGTATATTCTATATCAAATGTAACTATTATTAAATAGAATCTTTTGCTTAGGTCATTACAGAACTAGTAATAAAGTAAAGTAAATGTGTAATGCAAACTCTGTTAGAATGGCTGAAATTCTTTGATCTACGCTACAATTGGTTCCCAACCATGAAAATGCAACGTTATTTTGTGATGACTTTATACCCTCTCTCACAGCTTGCAATGTGGTTCTGACTTGACCGTTATCTGTCGATGGTTATTTTATCCTTTATTTGTGCTTTATTGGATTAATGTGTATATTATTCAAAATAATAAGATGATGGAATGAGTAAAAATCTGTAATTTTATCTTGCGTTTAGCTAATTTTGAACCCCTCAATTAAGTTACTTTGTTATTCCTGTCTTCGACGATTCATAATTGTGTGTGCATTTCCATTTCACAGCTTAGGTAGTGTTTCAATGGCAAGATAATTGAGATTTAGTCAGCTAAGGAAGTAATTAGCCTGGTGGGTTGATGAGCAGTATTCTTTTCAATTGATGTAATATCAAATTCTCTACACATTCTACATATGAAAATCCAAGACCCTGAAATATATACTGTGCTTTTAAATTTTATCATTCCAAGAGACTTCCTCAGAGCTCTGTTCTACCTCACTCAAGAAGCTGAAAACCAAGGCTTCTCGTTAATATTTGACTTGTTAAACGATGCATTTAGATTGAACTTGAGTTTGGTTTGGTGAGAAGGCATGACTTGCTGTTTGCTTGTGTGTCATTATTATCAGATCTGATGATCATTTATGCAGGTCGCTTTCTTTATCTGAGACACAAGTTATATAGTAGATCACAGTTATAACATGTTGCATTATGGGTCTGCTTATAGGAAGATTGGGATGTGAACCCAATTATTTGCTTTCCCCCACAAAATGTGATGTGAAGAGCAAGAACTGATTTTGCCGATGACTTAATGGCTTGGAAATTGGCTATTTTGCCTGCCTACACAGTAAGTAATGGCTGCCGTCTTGGTTATCAGTTTGCTGTGTAGAAACTGACCTCAGGGCTGACCTGATAACCTGAATGCAGCCATTTTGACTTTGCACGCACAGGCTGGCGTTTTGAAAAGTGTCCAAAGTTTAAATTTTTTGTCACTTACGAGCTCTTTTTTTCTTGTAGGAAAACTGAAAGATCTCGGCAACATGATTCTTCGACCATTTGGTCTGTCAAGTGACAACTTCCAGTTAAATAAGGATCCCAACTCTGGCTCTTACTCTGTCAATTTTGTTCAAAATCCAAACAATAATGATAGGTAACGGGTTTGTCTCGTAACAGGCCCAACCCAAGAGTTTCCTGGAGAAAAAGTGTTTTTATTTTGCAGGCTGGTAAGAAATTCAGAGTGGCTATGTTTCAATAAGATGTTCATTTACAGTTAGAAGCTGCACTTGTTTTACCGCACTTAAACTGCCATTGTTGTGTCCAATGACCAGTAATGAAGCCATTACATTTATTTTGTGACTACACCTGAATAAGTACTAAAGCAAACATAACACTTCCATGCTTAGAAGCAGATATGTTACGACATTGATCTCACAAACAGCAGTTAAAAGGTGCCGTGTGACCATTGTATATATATATTGTTTGCTGTGATTTTTTGATATCTGCAAATACTGCTGTTTGTTTACCTGTGTAATATTAATCATGCTGGGTTATCATTAATACCAATGCCTTACTCTCTCTGAGTAAAAAAAACAAAGCTAAAATGAGAATATATGAATAAGTAAGAGCATTCTGGAAATAAAAATGTAATTGTAATTCCTTCTGTTAATTACTGTTGTTGCCCAGCTGATTACTCACTCCTGGTCTCTGCGAACGCATTTTGGCTGCAGCCCCGACCCCCTCCCTCTGAAAATGTTCCCCCACACTATGATACTCCCACTCTGTCCTTCTCTCCCATCACCCTCCTCGCCTTCTCGGTCTTCTGAATCCCGCCATTACCTCCCTCTGCTCCAGACTGGCTTCCTCTGCCAGGCCCATCGTAGCTGCCGGCGTTGGTTGTCCCAGAGCAGCCACCGCAACTGTCCCATCGCCCAACTGCCTCCGAAAGGCAAACACCTCTTCCCCCTCCCTAATTCCATGCCCTGTCCAACACTCCCCCACCCTCAAACTCCACAGTCATCTCTCCCCCACGACCCCAAATTCTCTGTATGCCAGTCCCTCCTTTATCCCCCCCCCCACCAGCAAACCCATCCGCATTTCCCTCCAAAATGTTTGCTCCCTCTCCAATAAAGCTCTTCTTACCATGACTTCATACTGGATGAGCACATTGATATTCTTTGGCTTACAGAAACCTGGCTCTTCCCCGGTGATCCTGTCCCCCTCGTCGAAGCCTCCCCACCTGCCTACACATTTCACCACACCCCCCCTAGAGGCCAAAAACAACACACAGTTACTGTTCTCCACCATCCATCACCTCCTCCGTGCACCCCCTCAAGCTCCCTCTGACCTCACATCAAACGCCAAGTCTGAAGAGGTCCTAGACTTCTTCACATCAACGATTGAAAACATATACTTGGCTGTATCGTCCTTGCCCCTCCTCCCTCCCTCTCAACACAATCACCCGCATGAAGTTCACTACCTGCTGCCTCAACCCCCTCCCACCCAGCTGCTGGTAATCCAACACCCCCTCCTCTTTCCCCCTGTTCGCCGACACGGTCAAGCAGTTTCTCTCAGGCTCTGTTCTACACCACCTTAAAACCGCTGTTATTATAGCCCTACTCAAAAAACCCACCTTCAATCCCTCTAATCTCTCACACTACCGTCCCATTTCCAACCTACCCTTCCTTGCCAAAGTCCTGGAACGCTTTGTTCCAGGTCAACTTTGGTCACACCTCTCCCAACCGCCTGCACTTCATCTCAGCAAATGGTTTCTCCTCCTGCCCCCACCCGGTCACCTGTTGGGTACCCTAGGGCTCCATCCTTGGCCCTCTTCTTTTCCTTACTATATGCTCCCTCTGGGCGATGTCGTCCGCAAACACAGGGTAAACTTCCACATGTATGCAGATGTCACACAAATCTACTTTGCCTCCTCCAGCTGTAGCTCCAGGTCCGCTGATGTTCTATTAGCTTGTCTGGCGGACATCAACGTGTCTGGCAGACGTGGAGTCCTGTAGCTCAGTGGTTAGAGTACTCACCTCGGAAGCGAGACACCTAGGCGAAACCTTGGGCAAGTTTCCTTAATGCACACGCCTGATAATAATCCCTCAAGAAAAAAAATAATAATTTGGTCACTCAATCCATGACTGTTTGTGGGACACTGCTGTGGGCAATTGGCTGCTGCAGATCGCCCACAAATATGCAGTTTACAGTATATTCTGTGAAGCGCTTTGAGACATCTAGAAGACGTGAAAAGTGCTACATCAAATGCAAGGATTATTATTATTATCAGGGCCTGAATGAGTGCAAATTTCCTGCAGCTGAATGTGGACAAGACGGAAGCCATACTTCTTGGCTCCCGTCAACGCCTTCACTCCTGCAGATCTGAACTCAATCTAGGCGTCCGGTTCGACCCCCAGCTGTCCTTCCTTCCTCTCATTCAGTCCCTAACCAGGACCACCTTTCTCCACCTCCACATTACCTTCCTCCAATTAAACCTTACTCCAAATGCAGCTGAAACCCTCGTGCATGTGTTTGTCACCTCCCGCCTGGATTACTCTAAAACGCACTCCTCGCCACTCTTCCCCAGCTCCACTATTCACAAAATCCAGCTCATTCAGAACTCTTGCCGTCCACATACTGACCCGGACCAAACTCCATACCCACATCTCACCAGTTCTAGCCAGGCTGCACTGGCTCCCCATCACTGAAGGGATCGACTTCAAGATCCTCACACTCGTGTTCAAATCCCTTCACTCTTTGGCACCTCCCTACCTCTCCAACCTCCTCACTCCCCAGTCCATCACCCGGCACCTCCGCTCCACGGTCGCACCGGCCTCCTGCTTGTCCCTCACACCCTCCACTCCACCATTGGAGGTCGCACTTTCAGCCACTGTGCCCCGAAACTCTGGATCACTCTCCCTCAATCCTTCTGTCAAGCCCCCTCGCTCCCCTTTTTGAAGTCCCACCTTTCTTTTCGCCCGTGCTTACAGTCACTACCTCCATCACCACCCCCCCACCCCCCATTAACATTAAACAAAGATAAAAAACAATAGCACTTCATTGCTACAATCTAGGAGAAATTCTATGAAACCCCCCTCCCATAGAACCGTGTATGGTTGAAACAGATGAGGAGACAAAGTAACACTGATTGAAATATTCAGTTAACCAAAAACATGTAATTTCTCCTTGATCATTGTTGGCTGCTGTCCAATTAGGGACATGAATTTAGACTTATGGCCTTTTAAAGAGAAAAACACACCTACTGTTGTCTTGCCACACTTCCAATTCTCTCCTCCCCATACCATTAATCTCTCTTCTCCCCCATAGATTCTAGCTATTTACCCATTTTGTTACAAAACTGCTTCATTCCACTCACCCAACATCCTGGCTCAGAGAGGAAATCTTGTCGACGTTGTTTGGATTACATAGGAACATTGGAATGTAAAGATTGAGACTAATGTGGTCTGTCTGGCCTATCCCAAAGATTTAAAAAAAGATAGTTTGCAACAAGTTCTTGCAGTGCTTCCAACCGTGCCAACTTGAGTTGAGGCTTGCCCTAATCAGACCAGTCCCAGTTGACTGCTTCAGAATCTGCTGCTCTATTATCACACCTTGTTTTTTTGTGTGTTGAGTGACATATTCTGAGGAGAAACTGCCTCTTACAGTACCTACCTCGCTTGTCTTTCATCACCACTCAGAGCATTGAGGTGAAGCCCATTCTCACCACAGAAAAGGGTCTGATCTCAGCTTTGATTTTTGTGAGACTGGATTGTACTGAAAGAAGGCTTATCCAACGAGAGTTTGAGTGGAGTTACAAAGGGTTAGCCCGAGACATCTGTATATCCACAAGATCTGCTATTTACAATTATTTTGAAACAAGATTCATTATTATAATTTGAGCTAATTTATGGTGCAGTTTTTTTGGTTCATTTGAATTTTAGTTAGTGTTAAACATCTTAAATAATGCTTGTCCTTTGGTGGGTTGAGCAACGAGACACTGAATTAGTTGTGCATCAATCTTCACACAATCTGACCAAACTAACTTCTAACTTTGTGGAGCAACCATTCTCATTGATACCATCTGACAAACCTTTTAATGTGCAAGGTTTGCCCTATTTCTGAGTGATATGAAACTTGAAGAGAGCTATCTTATGCTGAGGTATTGCAGTCCCAATTGAGGTGTGAAGACACTGGAGAAATCACTTCATACTTACAGTGGTTAGTGTAGGTTTGTAGATTGATTGTAACCTCTATGGACAACAATGGAAGTTGCTTTTCCAAAGTTTACTTTATAACTTACAACTAGATTTCTTCCCGAGAAAGAGAGGAAATTGCCGTTGCCAATCCTCATTGAGCAGGAAAACTCACAGCATAACTCCATAGGGAACCAAGTCAATCAGTTGCTGCTGAGCAATATGATCAGACTCCAATCTACAAAATCCTCAAAATACCAGATCAGAGTTTAGTATGCAAGCAACAAATGGGATTCTGCAGATGCCGTTTGTGAGTTGAGGGGAGAAAATATTGCTTCAAACCAAACTCACTGCAACAAAATGGAAGGTCCAAACAATGATCTTACAAAATTTAAATTTAAATTGAATAATTTAACTGTTGCACAACATTAGGGAATTTAAGTTACTGTAAATGTATTTCTATAAATGTGGAGTCCTGTTGCCTCGCAAGCGAGAGAACCTGGGTTCAATTGCCAGGCAGGGCGAAATGTTGGGCAGGTTTCCATACTCCACATGCCTGTTTATCTAGCAGTAAGTAGGAACCCGGGTGTTAGTTGCTTGGTGGATTGCTTTTTCAGGGGTAATAATTCCTTAAAAAAAAATTGGTCACTCAATCCCCTGCTGTCCGCAAATGGCTGCCGTGTTTCGACACAAAATATACAGTCAATTTACTTTACAGTATATTCAGTGAAGTGCTTTGAGACGTCACAAAGACGTCATAAGGCGCTGAATCAAATGCAAGTATTATTCATATACTGGTTTTAAAATTCTACATTGGTGAAACTTGGAAGATGACATGACCTTTAGGCTATTGTTTCTGGTCTTCAAATACCTAACCTTCATCCAAGAAAAAAACAAAGGTTTCCTCCTACATTGTACTATTACAAAACATAGTCATAATTGCATAATGTGGTATTGTATGGTTTCCAAAGGCAACTTAAAGCAAATCTAATGAAGATGAAGATCTACTATAATGTAAAGGAAACGATCATGGGAATACAATCTAGGATTTTAATTTCTTTCCAGAATTGTTATACACCACATTCTTAAAACATTCAATTTTATGCAAACCTTAAAGCTGAACCACATAATTAAAATGTATCCTCAAGTCCACAAAACAAATCATAGAATTATACTGCACAGAAGGAGGCCAATCGGCCATCGTGCCTGTGCTAGCTCTTGAGCTATCCAAATTAATCCCACTCCCCCGCTCTCTCCCCATAGCCTTGCAAATTTGTCCTCCCCATTTCTCTTTGATATGAAGACAAGACAAAACTTAAAATGTGAACCATAGCTTAAATATTAAGCAACTAAGCAAAAACCAGTGGAGAACAAATACAGTACTACATTAAAAAAATCCCTGACACAAATGGTTTCATTCCTAAAACTGAATTCATAATTAAAATCCAATACTCAGGATTTATATAAAAAAATAGAAAAGGGCTACAGTACTTATAAGAAATGTCTGGGTTCATTAACTGTGGACTCATCCAGTGACCACATTTTAACAGGGCACATTACACGGAAAGACTTTTTTTTCCTTTTTCTTAAAAAAATCACAATTTCAAGTGGATCCAATATATCTACACATCAAAAAAGGTTCAGAACATGCATTAAGAATCGCAACTTTTTAAAAAAAAATATCTTTCATTTCTCCACACTGAGTAAACAATGTACAGGTGTTATTTGAGGTTATTTTATGAATGAATTTTTAACATGGCAGATAATCTACTTTCTCACCCATTCATTCCCCGCCCCCCACCCCCACCAAAAAAAAGTATTTTCAATTCAGGACAAGAATGACGCATCAAGTGTCTTTTGTGTTTGGTTGCCTTATGTTGCAGTCCAACAAGTGACAGTGTAGTGGATTTCAGGGGGAAACAGCAGCCAGTACCTTAGTGTCGTCGGGCTAAAAAGTAAAGGAAAAAACAAAAGTTAGAATGTCAGAAACATTAATAATGTAGTTTTCTAGGGAGGGTAAAATTGTTCTAACTTACAATCTAATTGTCTAACATTATCATATTGTAGAGATTTTAAATCCCCAACCGGTAGGATTTTGTAAATCTGTTGCAATGGACATCCAAGTACATTCAAAGTTATTTGAGATGTCTCGAAGATGTGAGAAGGCGCGATATCAAATGCAAGCATTATTATTATTATTTCAGATTTCTGCTGTTTGAAACTTGACCCAGCCACATCTCCCCAAATAAATAACCATTTGGCATTGGAATTGGCATTTTCCAAGGAGGATGAAATCACAACTACTGTTTTTAAGGAATGCCAATGTAATCTTCAGTGAAAATGTCATGTACACATTTGACACACCCAATCATTCTCTCCCTCTCTTGCACATACACACAGAGGGAAGTTAAAATGAAAAGCATTTCAACTTCAGAAAATATATAGAGCTTCTGCTAGCCACATTAGAAACTGCAGAAATAATTTTACCTGTAGGACAAGATTCTGAGTCTGCAACATAAATCTCCTACTTTGTCCCATCCAAGAATAACAAAATTCTATTTTTTAAATGCCAAAGGCTACCCACCCAACACTAATCAGTGAAAGCTTATTTTCTAGTCCTACCACAGAAAGCATCTTGCTTCCAAGACAGCAAGAAGCCACATTTGTAAACAGCATTAATCCCATTAATAGTGCAACACTGACTGCATATTTTCTACGTGCTGGATCGTTGGTCAAAACTGCAGGGGTAAAGATTGCACGGGAAGAAACCTGCACCAAGAGTACAAAATAGTAGCTTCACTGGTTGTTCCAGTTCATAGGACAATCTACAACCAAAAAACGTTGGGGGGGGCAAGCAGCTATAGATTACAGCTACACCTGATACTGGCTTCCACAAATATGGATTTCTGGCAGGAATCACTGGAAGGAGACTTAAAGCAGGAAGCTTGGTTAATTACAGCCTTCTTCCCAGTTCCAGGCTGAGGATGCAAATTCATGTTCACCACCATCCTGATTGAGCCTAGGGCCTTCCTGCTCTGTACAGCTCATCACATGGTGTATTTATCTTATGCAGAATGATGTCCCAACTATTGCAATACTTGGTTATATGAAGCCAGATCCTCCAAATATTTTCTAAATAGTCCCAATTGTAAATTTCATAAATTGATTGAAATAGGTTTTAAATACCTCAAATGCTTGTGATCTGTTAGCAATTTACTAATTGTACTGCTCACTCACATTTAAAAGCCCAAGGAAGCTATGGGGAGTTCTGCAATGGAGTATTCACTAACCACTGTAGCAAAGAATGTGACTAAATCCATTCACCTCACTGATTCAGCAACATGTGACATTTAGTTTTTAACAATTGCAATGGGCTATATAACAGATTAATCTAGGATTTATAAAGCAATGTCCCAGTTCTAGCCTGTTTAAAAAATATGTGCTGAGTGAAACTTCAGTTGAAATTCTCTGACCTAAACATATTAAACACAATCTCAGCTGAAGCTACCCCAGTAACTCAGCAAGTTTATCCAGGACTAACTGAACTATGTAGACTGTCAAGATCTGCATTGAACAGATCTGTGGCAATAAGAATACTGCACATAGCTTCCACAGCCTTGATAAGGGAGCAGGAAAGTCAACCAGGTTTCCCCATTCTGTTGCAATCAAGCAACCATAACCGGAGGCGTGTACGTGCACATGGACATAGACATCAGGCAGCAGTAGGATTGTATTCAGCTGCAAGTGGTCAGATAGCCAGCTAACACTCACCGTAACACTTCACAGTGACAACTGGGCAAAGTACAGGAGGGTGACTTCCATCCAGAGAACTATACCCCATTGGAAGGGGTGGGGAAGAAAGTATGGAATGCCTTCAGGATTGGTGAGTTGAAAAAATCATTAAACCTGCATAAACACTGGAATTGCACAGCCAGCATTTCAGACATGCCCTTTTCTGAAGTGATGGCCTATTCTAATGAAGAGTCATACCTATAAGAGTACTGCACTTAAAGAGTATCCTCCTACCCGTACTCTCCCTGATCCCAACCCCCTGCTCAGGTCCAAATCCCTGACTGTCCAGCGCCTTGAGAAGATCTCCCAATGTGAAAGGCACTATACAAATGCAAGTTGTTGTTGTTGAAGCTCTAGCATCACCTTCAGATGCTGATCGATCTGCCTTTCTGTCCCGATTTCACATTTTTAGTAGCTGACACCACACAAGTTGGCACTCAACATTCAAACTTCCAGATTTAGGCACTTTTCTGCCTCAATCATGGTATCCAGGTATCTCAACTCAAGAGCTGAGTTTTATTGGATTTGATGCTTCACCGATTTGTATTTAAAAGATGATGCAACGTCATGCATGTATGAGGGCAGATGGGCAGAGCTTTGAATGCACCATTACCAGGGAAGCAGATAATCTATTCGACTTCTTAACTCTTTACTACTCAGCTTCGCCCTTAAGTTATATATCAAATGCAAGTATTTATTATTTATTAAGTTTAAAACTCATTGTTGATATCCCTGATATTAATCAATTTGTTGAGTTTCCCCAATTGCCAAATGGGTAAAAGCACCGCTTTGGTGTAATGCAGCACTGAAGCAAACAGACAAGTCATATCTGCACTGAGTTACAGGTGATGGTAAGATTGCTGGAATTGGCATCAGTGCAATGAAATTTCTTCAGCCCCAGTAATGAGTTTGACAATCTTTTAAAAGCCGCAATAAATCTAGTTTGCCATCAATTAGTGTCCAATTAAAATCATTGCAGTTATTAGAAGGGAGATATTTTAAATCTATTGGAAGCAGAGTTAGCAAGCCTGCAACGTCAATACACTCATTCCCACCCAACTGCAGCCTGACCTCATTTCCCAGCATCATATACAGTGGCAGATGGGATAGGCTGACTCTCACATTTGCCAGCTCATCTTAGAGATTAGATTAGTGAGAACTAGATAAAGGATTTTCCCTCCCAATTATGTCAGTAGGAAACATTTAAAACTTTCATAGGAATTTTTAAAATATTAAAATGAATAAAAGTGTACAGCTCCTTCACAGTGCTGGCTTGTATTCTTTTGAGTTATCAAATTTGGGCGACTTCAAATATATAAATTATTTATAAAAATACAGATTCTGAAAAAGTTCTGACACTGCACATATTTCACAGGTTCACCAAGTTTAATCAGGTAATTTTCATAGTATTTTACAAGAAAAATCAAAGAGATGACATTTACCACTGCATCGCTAATAAAAAAACATTAACTCTGGTCCATTCAGGGAACACCTGTTTTTATTAAATTCAGGAATTCATCATCAAGTAGATCCAAACAAAAAAGAACTTTGTTAGAAGAGGTCGAATATTTCAGCATCGTGAACGTTTGGTGTGCTTTTTTTTAGAAGATGCGGGAATTTAACTTGCAAGAGAAAAAAAATTACAAACAGTGCAGAAACAAACTACATAACTCACAAGGATTGTGGCAAAATGCAAATTTCCTGCAATATTTAGAATAAAGAGCCTTTGGAAATACAAAAGATGTGAATATTTTAACAGTCAACATTTATTTTTATATCTGTTTCAATCTCATACTGTAATTCCACCATGATGGCTGGTGGTCTGTTAACATACAAGCATTTCTGTTTTTTCAGCCCCTTAAACAATTATTTTACAAATCTCAGTATGAACTTTCTGTGAAATAATATTCTGCCATAATAATATTCTATAGAGGATTCACATTAAGAATCAGTAATTTACAGAAACAAACCACAAAAAAACACTCTAGGGTTCAAGGCACCAATGGTTTATTTCCTGTAAACCACTGGTTCCCAAACCATGTTCTGTTTACACAACTAAATTGATTAAAGACAGATTTAGTTGCTTTTAAAATATTTGTCATCAGTTTTAGGCAGACTAATGCTTGTGTAGCTATAGGCCGCAGAAATTATTATGCTGAAGTCACACAATAGACAAGACGGTGATGCCCCGGGTAAACATGGGTGGCAGAGGTGATGTGCAGGGAGAGGTTGTAAGAGGAGGGAGGGGAAGAGAGCAGGAGGGGGTGAAGTAGAGGTTGAAATTGCCAAGGATGAGGAGCTATTCAGAGCAGAGGGAAAGGAAGGATAGGAGGGTGCAGATGGCATTACATAACCATACTCTGAATGCCAAAATAGCTTTCTTCAGTACAAGACCACATTGGAAATAATCAAACTGGATATCAGCTGCATAATATTTCTTTGTATCAAGTCTTTCCAACAGTTCTATGTTCCAATTGGTCTTCCTTTTTATTAGCAGAAAAGTTTCAATAAAAAATATTTAAAAAAATATAAACTGCAATAAATAAAATCATGGTTTCAACATGTTGGCAGCTTGGTAGCCAGAATTTAACCTGCTTTCCTCTGGTGGGCACTAAGGAACAGAAAATCCAACTTGGTCCTTTCAAACACTCCTACTAAAGATACAGATGCCAGGAATTTAGAAATGGATTTCTAATCTACACACTTCCCATGCCAAACAAATGGGTTAACCAGTGGCAAGTACCCCATTCCCAAAGGGTTACCTCCCCTACACAGACAGTTATGGTGAAAGTATGTAGGACACCTGGTTCTATAAAATTAGGTACTTCATTTGGCGTACTTTGACTGTCTTGGTCAAATTCCTTCCCTAAATCCAGGACTAATGAAGTATGATAAAATGAAATATTACAAATTATTTTGATAGTGGCTTAATGAAAGCCAGTAGTCAACCTCATTTTATACTAATACTGTCTTCTGATGTCCAATTAGTAGGCCAATCAGCCTAATTAGAGGTTTTGGAAATAGTCATACATGTTTAAAGCTGGGCATCAATTTAGTGGAACCCCGGGCAGTTGACTTGCCTACCTTCTTTGATGTTTTCATGTTTCAAACTGTGTCAGCAGGGACCGCACCTCAGGTGTCAGCTGCTTTGCAGCCTTGGCTGCCTCTGTGATGGCCTTACGGTAAAGACCTTTTCTCTTCTTGTTAAACCGTGACTGGAAGTTTTCTAAAAATGGGGAGACTTGAGAAAGAGCCAGGAAAGAAGTTGTTGGGGACCCAAACCATGAAATTCTGGCCTCCTGCCTTACTAAAAGGCCATTATCTTTCCGGCTAACAGTTATAGTAAGGATGCGGGCCGGCCACCAGGGGAAGCCGTAAATCTTGGCCCAAACAATGTCCCCTACACATATGGTCTTGCCATCTGCAGTCACACATTTAGAGACATTTTTGGTAAAGATTTTCACTTTCAAGGAATTATTGAGTTTTTTCTCTTCTTTTGAGGAGGAAGAAGAGGAGGAAGGTACATGCATGCTGCCTGGAGGAAAGTCAAACGTTTCAGTAGAACTACATTCTGAGTTGGAGGATTTTAGATCATCTGCGCTATCACTACTACAAACTGAAAAGGTGGAAGAGTCAGATTTATTTTGACTGTAGGTCATATAAACAGTTATATTGCCTCTGCTGCCCCTTTTCCCCAACTGCTTTTCATCCTGCTCACAAGGCCATTTTATTTCCCTGGTGTCTTTATTCTCATCAGTGGTGGACTGTTCCAACCCTTTTGTGGGACTATCTTTTTCAGAAGGCTGCTCACCTGCTGAACGGGAGGAGGTGCAGCTAGGCGGTGATTTGGAGGCTGTCTTGTAGTTGCGTACTCTCTCAAGTTCAGCCTTGTAAGCAGCATCATTTTCTTCATTCCTGTATCGTTGCGGCTTTAAGCGAATCCGCGGAGGAAGAGAGCCAGAATTTGTGGTTTGAAAGCGCCGTGTGAAATGAACTTTTGGAATGGTATTACCGGAAGAGGTAACTTCCCGCTGCCGTTTCCTTTGGACTTTCTCTTTGGCCATTTTCAACACTTCCCTGGCTTTCATGTGTTCTGCATTCTTATTATGCAGTACTTTTTTAGGATTCAACTGCACTTTAGAATTGTGTCCTTGAGACATTTTAACTACTTTGCCCTTGCCAGGAGGCAGATTTGGAATTTTGATAATAGCATTTCGCTTGTGGCTATCACACAAGGTTTTCCCTTCCACTTTCTGGTCTGTTTTCAGTCTTTTGGACACGGTGGGCATACTATCATTTTTCCGTTTCTTGTTATCTTCATTTCGAGTAGAGTCGTTTGTGCTGCCACCCCTTTTCATTTCTTTTTTGTCTGTAGCAATGCTATTTTTGCAGCGGTCACATAGCACCTGCCTTGGTCTAAGTTTAATAGAGTTCATTATGGAAGTAGACTCTTCTCGATACATTTTCCGCTTAGGTCGCTTAATCTTTCTTGGAGGGGGTTGAGGTATAGACTGGTTATATGTATCTCTGATAAACAGAGGAGGAGGATAGGGCACCCCGTCATAAAATAATGGTGCAGGTGTAGTCCACAGGCTTTCAGCCACACTAGCTTCTGTGGTGGGTACCTGAGATGGCTCTTCACAGCAAGTACCTGGAGGTTTAGAACTCTGCTGGAATGGATCATGCTGAAGATGCAGCCAGTCAGCTTTATTCTTGTATTCCCTTTTTGGCAGCACAGTCACAGGAATTCCATATGGACCAAACCTGAAAAGATATAGCACAAATTTGTGTTCCTTCGTTCTTAAGCAAGGTTTAATTTTTTTTTTGCTCTGACCTTGCAACAGTAAACCATGCTCATTACTCCTCAATAACCCGTATTCCCCAATAGCATTTATAGTGATCTGGGGTCAATCCAGAATAATTTCAATGCAAATAAAAATCCCTAGATCTATGAACACTAACACTGCTCACTCCAGGGACATAATCATCTATGCTGGACAAGAGGAAGAAATGGGAAAAAAAGTCAACTCTACACAAGTTGATATCCTGTAGTTGTCTGCAATTTACACCCAACGAAGCCAGGTACTTAATCCATCATTGGTTGATGATCGGTTTCTATCAAGAAAGGGTGTGTAAATTTATTTGCCTTTGCAAAAGGTAACCGATTTTTCGAGTATAAAATGAGTGATGCAAATCAATGACTCACTTCTGAAAAAATTGGTTCTTTATAATTTATAAAGCACATGTGACTCTGGCACACTGTGATTACTACCTATCATAAGATGTACAAAACCATTGCCTTCATTTACACAGGTAATCTAGACTTCCATTCAGGTAAGCCTTTATATTGAACTATGATTGGCAATTACATATCCAAAGTTGAGCGGCATCAATGAACATATCAGTAATTGTGGCAATGCTTAAGTAATTACACATTTACAGAAGTGATTTTGCAAGACAGTTAGCTCAATTCAAGGTGTCCATACATTAATTTCACTGAACACTTTGGAAACTAATAATAGTTTAAAATAGAGCATCAAGGAAGAAATTTATTTATCTCGGAAATCCAGATTTAAGAGTATGCAATTGGTTTAGAAAAATGTGGGCATCTAATTTTTCCAACAGCGGAAAACAAGATTGTGCAATACCAGACAATGACTTCTGGGAAGACCCTAAGGGGGGGGGGGCGGGGGGAACACTATTATACCTTTCATACTCTAACCGATTTCTTCACCAAATAGCTATCTATTGAATTTGCTGAAGCAATATGCCTCCATTATCTCCTTGGGATAGTTCATTCCAGACATGCCATTCTCTGAAATTAAACCAAAATGGTCTTCTCACCTTCCATCTTGTAAACCCTATAGGATCTCTAATACTTCAATAAGTGCTTCCCTGAGCCATCTCTTCTCCAGTGTTATTATTCACAGCTTCCTTGTTATTCATGTGCCTAATTCCAGCTAACGATTGTAATGCCCTACACTGCATCGTTTCCAATGTCAAGATGCCCAACTGGGCTGAATCAGTGCACAGACATCAGCTTGGCTCAGTGCGCAACATTCTTGTCTCCAGGTCAGAAGGTTACAAATTCAAGCTGCACCTCCAGACAAACTCAAGTCAAAGCTAATACTACAGTGCAGTAATGGGGGGTTGCAACATTATCACAGAAGTCATCTTTTGGATAAGACATTCAACTGTAGTCCCATCTCTTGGAAGTATGGACATAAAGATCCAACGAATCTATTCAAACAGAATGGAATTTCTCCTGATTTTCTGGTCAACAATCCTCCGTACACTCCATGGTTGCTTGTGTCACTTTGTCATATATGGCTCCAGTGATGGCCTACAAAAGCAGTCCCTATACTTCTCATCAATTACCTCTGAAGCATTTGATAGTAATTATCTATAAAATACTTAAGACATAATGTGCTATAAAAGTTTTCTATTTCTTTAATAATCTGGCTTTACAAATCCATCTGAAATATCACTGATGTTTGGGGAAACAGCAACCTCTCTGTAGAATCATGAATAAAATCAACAAGTGATTAATATCTCAACAAGTCAGACCAACTGCATTATTGTAGAGCGAACATCATGAGATTATGGATCTTCATAAGTATATAAGTCTTCATAATACATAAGTATTAGTACTTATAAACCTGGTGTATCAGATTCCTCCACCCTCTGGATTGAAAACAGGTCCTCTGATCCTGATAGTATTCCTATTCTCAAACAATGTGCCTCTGAACTTGTCCCTGTCCTTTATGCACTTTCTTCAGCTTCTTCAATTACACTACCTTTCCTTCTTGGATAAGTGTAGTGTTCCTCTATCACTAAAATTGTCAAATTATCCTTTACTTCAAACATTCGAGTTTAATCCACAATTGCCAGTAATCTTCTTTGGCATGACTCTGCACAGGGAGTCCATTTTCCTGCCAAAGTAACATCTAAACCCGAGCTCTTTAAACACATGGGCATTCATTTATCATTCTCTTTGGGTATTTCCAAAGCCTTCCACAGGGAATGGCACTGTGCACTTCATAATCTACACAGATTATGATCTTGTGATCTTCCTATGAAGTTATGCACATGGCTATCTAGTATCATCTCAAATCAGAATGTGCTGTATTTGATTGTTCACTTTCAGACTATTCTCCATCGATTAAGAGGTTGTCCACCAATCTATCCTCTTCAAATTAGTTTTTTCTCCATATTCAATGACACATCCACTAAACAAGGTGTGATAGATATCTCAACAAGTCTGACCAACTGCATAATTGAAGGACAAATATGGTCATGGTTAGTCCCATAAGTATAAGTACCTATAAACCTCCAACAAAATCCACTCCATATGCATTAATTTATTTCAAATCACTTCCTTTCGGTGGAAACAGCTTTCATTTTTCTCCCAGCGCAATAACTGAATTACTACTCTTTAATGGCATCAATGCCTATTGATGAGATAATGAAAATCTGAATTTTAATTCCTTAGATACAGCTAATAGACATTAAACCGACAACTATCACATCTACTTGTGGTTTACTTCAATCAATGTCTCACCTAACAAAAAAAATCTTGGGTCTCATTACCTCATGATGTGCCAGTCTCTCCATTGCCAAAATAGATTCCAGGAAGTTTGGCTCACTCTTCTCTCAATTACATAACTCATTACAAAACCGAAATGTATCCAAAAGTTGAATATTGCTTTTATCTACCGGACTCCCTTCTAGCATCTTTCATATATTTTTCTGGGCAGAATGCAAGAGAGCGCTTGATCCTTCTCTCAGCTCTGGTCTGTGTATGATTATTGCTTTTCTCAACCTCGCTCTTACTCTAGCAATTCAAAATACACCTTTACGAATCATTCACGCATCCTGTGATGAAATTGAAGCTTATTGCATGGTCTTCACCAGTGTGGAACTACTTACATCCTTCAATCTGTTCTTCCTCATACACCGTTTGAAAGCCAAACAGGATAACACCTTAACATTTCTTCTGGGCCTTTTCTGTTTTCAATCTTAGTCATGTATTACAATATGCACCATGCCTCATCACCGCAGTTTCTCAATTTTAAAATGTTTTCTCTAATTTTGTTAAACTATACTGAGGTCATGAAAGTTGGATTCTGATCTTTCTTCCCCATTCTCTGCATGAAGTTCTCAAAAGATAGTATGCTGCTGAGTATTTAACAACCTCAAATTTGCCCTTAAAATATGCGGTCAATTCACTTTACAGTATATTCTGTGAAGCATTTGAGACGTCTCAAAGACGTGATAAGTAGCTATATTAAATGCAAGCATTATTATTATTTATTATTATTATCATTGCTTATTCCTTCCCAATTCCCAGCTGTATAACTGATCCATGTTTCGACTCTAAACATCAAGAATGTGTGCATTGCTCTGTGAGGGGTTAATTTAAGCACATTTTATTGTTCTGCTTCAAAGGAATAAGTGTACCAATCACTGATTGGAATTATACTTAACAATCCTTGCATTCCGTATAGTGCCTTATCGTGTTGTTGAGACATCTCAACCCTTCACAGATGTTTACTGTGAAGTGACTATTTGTAGGCAAATAGGGCAGCCAATTTAATCTTATCTAATGAGAACCTACATAACATTAGTTTGGTTTAAAAATATTCCACTAGTCTTCTCTTTCATATATCATTCCACAGTTGAAACATACCAGCTAATGTACATTAAGTACAAGTAACACAATTTTGAGTTCCACTCGGGGAAATATTTTCTCTGCAATAAATTCCCCCACCTACACTAAACTACCAATGAAATTTACATTGGAAAGTTTCAGTTTAAAACTTGCTCACTGTCCTTAGTACTCAATTTTAAAATGAATTGAACTTCACAAAGTATAGCTGGTAAACTTTAGTTACAAATAGAAATGTAATGATAAAAGCTAGAACTCCTACTCAACAGTTGTTAAACCGAATATAAGCATCATGTGTGTGATGGGCACGCACACATATTATTTGTATAGGTATTATTGGGCCTACAAAATAATCACTACATTTATATATGCATTTGCCAGTAAGTTCTGTGAAGCACTGAGATTCCCCACCATGTGACATGAAAATCACAATAGCAAATGCAAGGTTTATTACACGAATACTCATTTTTCATTTTTAATATAAATTAATGGAGGGTTAATTAGGTTTACATTAACACAGATTGGACCGACAACACATTGATTGACCTACACTCTCAAATAAGAAGGTTCTTGCTCATTACAATTCTTTACAAACCTCCAACCTCCCATGCGAAAAATCTATTTTTTTTATTACATCTTTGAAACAATTTCCTTCAGGTACTGCCCCGTGCTTCATTGCAAACCTGTATTCATACCCATTCATAGAAGTAAAAAAGCAGAGGTCTATGAATACATTAATCGGCTCACATTTATTATACAAGTTGCATAAATCAATATTGAGTATCTTTTCAGAATCCTATGTATCCGGCACATTATGGCCTTTCTGACTTAACTGTCCTCCAGAAGTGGCAGCAAGTGCTGTAAACCACACACTTTGGCTACCCTTCTCACTCCATTGGCCGATGAAACCAATCCAAATGATAAGTAGAGAGGTTTTAAAATGAGATTTCATCAGGAAAGCAAGTCCTATGAAGCATGATTAATATGGTGACAAAATAATGGCTGCTTATGTTTTAAATGAGTAATGCTATTGTGAAGTCAATACAATGTTGTAACTAAACTTGGGAGCTTTATATTGTCCAAACTATGACAGTGCTTCAATTCACCCCTGAACACAATCCGCTTTTCATAAACATAATATAGATGCCTTTCACTGGAGTTTTACCTGCCCTCTACTTTTTGTAGCCATATGTGGCAGATCAACAATATGGCAGATAACTATCTATCTATTTTACAAAAGTGTTTTATAACGATTTGACAGTCAACCAAGGGTATAATAATGGGGTTAGCTTCAATCTTTTGTCTCCCTCCCAGGTCTCCTGGCATGCAAGCATGAGCACCACTCCTGTAGAAAAAAAAATGTCAGGGAACATAACTTGGGAGACAAGGCCAACCCAGGGTCCTCTGCAATGCAAAACTAGTTTGTTTTGCCCATTTCACACCAGCTGGGACTGCCCCATGGACAGAACCATTTCCCAACTCTCTCTGCAAGAGCAGTAAACATCAGGAGGTCACATGTGGAGTGACTCGGAGGCTCATCAAGAAGTCAAAAGGAGAGAACTCAAAAGCACATGGTCAAGCCAGGATAAAGGTGGACTTCGATGGGAGGCCAGAATACACCCTAGAAAAAGCACAGGAGACCTTTAGTGCATATTGTGCACATAGGCACATGGTTAGAGGTTTGTTTTTGAGAAAACAGTATATTCTATACCACTGAAACATTTTTGCAGATGTATATTATAATACATCTGAAGTGGGTAGAAATTTGTCATTTAACCTAACTAGTAAACATATATGTGGAGTGCTAAATACACATCACTGAAAACACATGTTTATGGTTTTTATTTTGATACATTCTGTTCATTACATCCACATACATCAATAACTGCTCCTTAAAATCTGCAAACAGGAAAATGTAAGCTCATACTAAACAGGATGAACAAATCCATGAATTTGAATGAACATCAAGCATTTCAGAACACAAAATACTTTTAAATTTAAAATAAGTTATACAAATATACATATGACACCCAATATAAAAGTTAGCAACAGTGAGCAACAAAAATGTTCAAAAATTTTAGTAGTGCCTGCGAATAAAAGATTTTTAGGGAAGGAAGGTGGGTGGGGTGGAAGAAAAAGCACTGTAGTTACTTTTACTGGATCCAATTTTTTTTGTGGTGGTGGGGGGTGGAAGAGATAAAGTGAAGCACCAGCCAACAAGCAACAAGAATAGAAATTTATGTCCCCCCCAAAAAAACAAATAAATTGAATATTTTAATTTTTTTTTAGAAAATCAGTGTTCCATTCGCTTTCCCCTCTGTGAGTGTGTGTCTGTGTCTCTCTCTAAACAGAAAAACTTGTCTAACAGCAGCCCGGCGATGTTCTGGGCGATGTTGGAGGCTGGGGTGGGGGTGGGGGGAGGCGGCAGGGAGGGAGGGAGGGAGGAGGGAGGGAGGCAGTGAGAGGCAGGCAGGCAGGCAGGCAGGCAGGGCGCCGAGCCTGTCTGCCTGCTGTCTTCCCGTGGGCCGTCAAGGCGCCCTGTCCTGCCTCGCCCTCTGCGCAACCACCCAGCGTCCCAACAGCGATCTCACACCCTCCTCCATATATATATATATATATATATATATAGCGCCCCTTTTTTAACGCGCGGAAATATATATTTTAAACCTATTTTTTTTCCTCCTTCTCTCCCTCTATCGCCCGCTCGTTACCTTCTAGAAACGTCCATTAAAACCCCTGAGAAGAGTTTCTCCTCGAAGCGCAGGGAGACCACCAGCGCGTCCTCGATGATGTGATCCACTGTGACCCTCACTTCGGAGCCCACTCGCAGTTTCACCGCGGCGACGTCAACCGCCGCCGCCGCCATTTTGCCTCCTTCTCTCTCCCTCTCCCCGCCCGAGAGCCGCCACGCTCCGCGCCGCCGCTCTCCGGCCTGGCCCTGGTTTGGGGGAGGGGAGAAAAAAGGGGCGTTCACACACTCTTCATTCGCCGGCTCTACCTATCGCTCAATCCCCTTCCGCCGCCTTATTGGCGCAGGCGCGCAACCCCGCTTCCGCGCCCCATGATTGGCCGAGCCGGGTGTCGATCACATGACGCGCGGACGGCTGCGCCGCTCGATTTGTCAGAATAGCTGTCTGTCACGCCATAGGGGCGGGATCGTTGTTATTATTACTCCCCCCTGCGCCGGGTTCTGATTGGACCCTGAGCTGTCAATCATCCATATCCAGGCCGCAGCTCAGAGGACCCGCCGAGCTGTCCATCACTAGATGTTCGCTGCTCATGGATCAGTGGGTGGGCTGCTTTGCAAGTTGACTGGAGATTGAGTGCATCTTGCAATTAGAAGGTGCAGCATAAATCATTGCAAGACGCATTGTTTCAAAAACACAATCTATACAGAGATTTCTGCTAATAGTTATAGCAATACTGCAAACTGGTTATTAAGTTACTTGTCCACGTGGTTGAATAAAGCTGGGGGAGTGGGATTGTTCTGGATAGCTCTGTCCAAATGGCCTCTTTCTGTGCTGTATAATTCTATGATAATATCTTACATTTAGTACAACACCTTTCACAATCTCAAAGTTGTACAGTAAAGTGCACTAACTCTGTATTGTGTAGGCAAATGCAGCAGCTTATTTGCACACAGCAATATCCCACAAACAGCTTGAGGAATTATTGACGAAGTGTGTGTCTGTGACTTATTGCCTTCTCTTTTAAAATTGTGCCATGAGACAGTTAACATCCACCCGAACAGGCTGACAGTTTAAAATCTCATCTAAAGGATGGCACCATCAGACTATGCAGCTCTCCCCAGCACTGTATTGGGAGTGTCAGCCTAGACCAGCGTTGTCCAACAGGCGGCCCATGGGCCGCATCTGGCCCAGCGGGTGATTTTATCCCCGAGACCATTTCCAACATCCCAACTTCCTCTCCCTCCTTCCCTGGTGAACGTCTTCCCAGGGCAGCAGCAGGAGCCGGTGGTTGGGAGGACGCAGCGCGGCGAGTGGAATTAATATCAGTCGTTACCTCAGTCTGTCAGGAAGGCAAGCACATCTCTTACCAACCATGTCTTTGGCAACCGCCGGCCCCTGCCACTGCAGATAGTGATTGCTGTGTGGCTGATTGGGAGAGAGAGGGATTGAGAGGGGGTGAGGTGTAAGAAAGGGGAGTGAGAAAGAGACTGTGAGAGAGCAGAGAGTGCGTGTGAGAGGGGGACAGTGTGAGAGAGAGTGAGGGTGGAGGGAGTGAATGTGAGGGAGAGAGGAAAAGAAAGAAACAGAGAGAGGGGGGGAACTTGAGAGAGAGTGATTGACACAGAGTGATTGACAGATAGTTTGAGAGCGGATAGAGAGAGTGTCTGGAAGAGAGGAGGAGAGGGTGAAGAGAATGATTAAGAGTGGGGGTGGAGTGTGAGAGGGAAGTGAGATGGTGTGAGAAGGGAAGTGAAAGAGTAATTGAGAGACAGTGTGTGAGAGGAGAGGGGGTAGAGAGAGAGTGATTGAGGGAGAGAGAAACAAAAAGAGTGAGAGAGCAGAGAGAGAGAGAGGAGAATTGAGGGCAGTGTTTCATGGTTCACTGTCAAGACAGATGATTGGAGATTCCCTCAACCACTGTGGTGGGGACCGAGGACAGACACTGAGTGACGTGCAGTTTCCTCACAGAAAGCTCCCTCTTTCCATAGTGAAAACCTCCTCTATGTCCTTCATTCCATCTCTCTCCACACCCTATCTCTGCAACCTCCCAACCTGGCCGTTCCCTTTGCCCAGCAAACAGCAGCTTGCTTCATATCCCCCCCAATCCATTTGCCATCCTATTTTGACCCTGCTCTCTGGAGTTCCATTCCTGGATCCCTCTGACGCACTCCCTCCCTCACCTCTTTCAATGCTTTTGGTCATCTTTTTCCCTCCCCATCCCACCTCTCTCGGCGCCCAGCTTAGGTGTCCAGCCAACAGTGCCAAAATGTCCTTCCAACATGAAAAAGGTACCGTGTATATGTTGTTATGTTTCTGGAAGGGAAACCCAAAATATTGCTTTCTTAAATAAGGAATTTGGCCCCCAGCAGCCAAATTCCTGGACCACCCTGGCCTAGAGCATGCAAGTCCAAAGTTCTGGCATGGGGCTTGAACTAACAACCTTCTGACTCAGAGAAAAGAGTGTTAACAACTGAGCCCGGCTGAGTCACAAGCTGATGCATAGGTTCATGATGCCAGCTCAGTTATTGTCAGACGAGTAACAAAAGGAAATGTTATTCGGTCTGATAGCAAGGTGGGAGAAAATATGCATTCCAGCAGCGTGAAAATTAAGTCTTTGACTCCGAACATTGGGTATCCTAGGAATTCAAAAGTTTTTGCAACTAATGCTGTTCAAGTCAAATATCTCTGTTGTTGTTATTATTGTTGTTGTATTTCTTACTACCAATTGTATAGATCCACTGTAAAACAAGAATAACATTCATGGAACTATTTAGTTATGAGTGTCCCAGGGAGGCGTGGAGTTATATAGCTTAATGGTTAGAGCACTTGCCTCGCAAGCAAGAGGACCTGGGTTTGATTCCCAACAACAACAACAAGATTCCATTTATAAAGCGCCTTTCACGTCAGGAGGACGTCCCAAGGCGCTGCACAGTTGGGTCAGGACCCGAGCAGGGGGGAAATGGTCAGGGTGAGGGGAGGGAAGGGAGGGAGCGAGGAGGGGGGAAATGGTCAGGGTGAGGGAAGGGAAGGGAGGGAGCGAGGAGGGGGGAAATGGTCAGGGTGAGGGGAGGGAAGGGAGGGAGCGAGGAGGGGGAAGAGAGTCGAGAAGGGAGCTGAAGGCTCGGTCAAAGAGAAAGGTTTTGAGACCGGCCTTGAAGGAGGAGAGGGAGGAAGCAAGGCGAAGGCACTGGGAAAGTTTCCTTACTCCACAGACATGCCTTGGTTTACCTAGCAGTAAGTAGGAACCTGGTTGTTAGTCGATTGGCGAAACGTTTTTCTGGGGGTAATAATCCCTCCAAAATAAATTTATAAATAATAATAATAATTTAGTCATTCAATCCACGACTGTTTGTGGGACACTGCTGTGTTTCACCCACAAAATATAATGTCAATTAACTTTATAGTATATCTTGTGAAGTGCTTGAGACGTCTCAAAGACGTGATGAGTCTCCATATCAAATGCAGAGATTATTATTATTATGAGTTAAATTCCAAAAGATATTAATTCAGTGAATATTCGGTTACAAGCTGAGCAAGACAAAAGGCAGTACCCTACTCTTTGCTTCATTCATAAAATAACTTGTTAGATGTCCAATTCCTGGTTATCTGCTGAATGAACACTCCAAATGTGAACATGTGAGTCCTGTAGCTCAGTGGTTAGAGCACTCGCTTTGCAAGTGGGAGACCTGAGTTCAATTCCAGGCAGAGGGCGAAACCTTGGGCAAGTTTCCTTACTCCACACAGAGCCTAATAATAATCCCTCCAAAACCCCAAACAATAATAAATTTGTCATTTTCAATCTACGACTGTTTGTGGGACATTGCTATGCGCAATTGGCTGCCGCGTTCGCCCACAAATATACAGTCAATTCACTTTACAGTATATTCTGTGAAGCGCTTTGGGATGTCCTCCCGACGTGAAAAGCGCTATATCAAATGCAAGGATTATTATTATTATTATTTAAGTATATATATCAGGAAAGGCTGAACAAGCTTGAAGTTAGATTAGAAGATCAGCCATGATTAAATGGCGGGGCAGGCTCGAAGGGCCAAATGGCCTACTCCTGCTCTTACATATTATGTTATGTTATGACTCTTTTCTCTTGAAAAGAGAAGAATGAGGGGTGACCTAATAGAGGTCTTTAAAATTATGAAAGGTTTTGATAGGGTAGACATAGAGAAGATGTTTCCACTTGTGGGGGAGACCAAAACCAGGGGCCATCATTATGCAATAGTCATAAATAGATCAAATAGGAAAGTCAGAAGAAACTTCTTTACCCAGAGAGTGGTGGGAATGTGGAACTTGCTACCACAAGGATAGATGAGGCAAATAGCATAGATGCATTTAAACAAAGCTAGATAAGTACATGAGAGAGAAAGGAATAGAAGGTTATGCTTGAAGGCTGAGTTGACGAAGGGCAGGAGGAGGCTCATTTGGAGCATAAACAACAGCATAGACCAGTTGGGCCAAATGGCCTGTTTCTGTGCTGTATATTCTATGTAATTCTATATAATTTAAGCTCTGTTTGTCAAGCAATATATGTCTTCTGTTGCCATTTATTGACAAAATATTCTCTGATATGTATCCATTACAATTTTCATATTCCATTGATTTCTGTAATGTGTAGCCATGAATTATATCCCACTTATTATACCTGTAAAATGGATAGTCAAAATGCTCTTATAATCATTTTCTTAATAGTTAATCATCAAATAAATCAGCACTAATTCCCTTACCAGTGATTATGGTGTATATGTTAGAGTAATGCTTGGTAGAATTAAACTGGAGCAAATTGCTGAAGTTATTTTAAGAAACCTTAACTGTTTATTTTCTGTGTCATTGGTCTGCTAATTAGAATAGTTGATATAACATCAGAATAGTTGAGGACTCTCGCTGCCTCCATAGGAAAATCACCACAAATACAATAATAATAATAATAATCCTTGCATTTGATGCCTTATCATGTTATCGAGACATTTCAAAGTGCTTCAAAAGTTACACTGTAAAGTGTAATGACTGTGTTTTATAGGCAAACGCACCAGCCAATTTGCACGCAGCATTGTCCCATAAACAGCCAAGGACCGAGTGACTGATTTTATTTGAGGGATTTGTTGGCCAGGACATCGGGAGAGAGAAACTCCCTTTTCTTTTCGAATTGTGCCATGGGTTCTTTAACATCTACCTGAACAGACAGACGGGAACTTGGTTTAAATGTCTCACATGAAGGACTCTTATTGTTTTGATTTGTTTTAATTTATAATAAGGCAAAGTGACGTGCATCCAGTAGCATGAGCGTTAGTTATTTATACAGTTGCGAACATCCAGTACAGCTTGTTCAGTGCTTGGGAGACAGCAAGTTCGTGTTAATCAGTTCTCCATTCTAAATTCTTATATTGTTATTACCACTGTCCTTCATTATAATTTCAGTTTCATGGTTGATTCATGCAGGATGCTTAAAGCCAATAGCTCTCGTACAAAAATGCATACAAAAGATTAATATTCGTTTAAGTTGAATTGATCCATTAAAGGAGATGAAGGTTCAGGTCCAATCGTTTAGGTCCAATAATTACACCCAGGAATTATTTTCCCCATCCAATTCTATTCCCTCTTCTCCTCAAAGAACTCATTCACCTTGTGATGTGGGTGATAAGTGATTAATGCGCTTCTCTGTCCATCAATAACTCGTCCAGTCATCAATACCAAGTGGCAGCTAAGAGTGTTTGTCTAAGCAGTAATTGGTGATGTACTATTTGACCATTCAATAGGCAGCAAGGGGCAAGAGAGCGTAGTCCCGCACCATAGTGGTTACCGCACTCGCTGCGTAAGCGAGAGGAGCCGGGTTTCATTCCACGGCAGGCAAGTTTACTTACCTCACACGCCTCTGTTTATCCAGCAGTAGGTAGGAACGTGGTTGTTAGTCAATTGGCTAACTCAGCACAGTGTAGGTATGCAACCTGTGAGAGAGATTACATCTCAGCCTATTAAATGTCAAGCTTGTTGGATTCTATAGCATCAAGGACCACTTTTTGAAAAAAGCTAGATATGACACACCAGAGGTTAACAGACTGAATAATGTAAGACATTGGTCCTCTAAGTCACATTTTTTGAAAATGCTACTGCTGCGAGTATGATATTATCTAATTCTGAAGTACTTTCTGTTCTAGGCGGAAAGACTGGCTTCAATTTCTCCCCACAGTGCAGGAATCTGCTGTGCACACTGGTTTTGAGGGTAAAGATCGAATCATATTGCCAGCATTACAGTGTTTGTGACAGACAGCACACTGCTCTTGTCCCTGGTAACATTATCACTTGCTAAGTGGTTAAATTATTTATCTTGCAAAAAACCTTAGTCGTCCATGGAGTTTGGGAACTAAGATAAACGTTCAGGTGATATTGGCT